ATCATACAAATGATATTTATGTTATGACCCATAGGCACGTCCATTGGGGAGTTGTAGTGTAACGAGCCAGATGCCAGATAAAAATACTTTTTTAAGGAACCACTCCCAATGGTTGATGCCACAGTATCTATCTCGAGAACAGATAAATATATTCATATACATTTGTAGACAAAACACATTTTGAAAGGGAGATACTCCCTATTACATCAATACATCATCACCAACCACCCACACATCTATATTGCATGTAACATTTAGAGGATTTTCTGCGTAAGTGCTAAGTACTATCTTACAAAATTGGCTTAAAAAATTGCAAACTCATCTAAAAGCTTTTTCTTGCTTCAGGTTTCTGGTCACCCCCCCCCCATTCCCATTTATCTGTATACCTTCTAAGCTGTATCAGTTAGAGAGAAGGAGTATGGGAGCCTGGAGGGGGCAAGACAAGGGTTTTATCCAAGACTCTCCCATTCCCTATGGATCAAATCATGCCACCCATACATAATCAAATAATATTTATCAATACATTATATTGATAGATGCCCAAATGTCCAACAGCTATTAGTTATTTAAGATACACCTCTCCAGCCTAAAATGCATATCCAATTCTGGAAAAGGTTACTGATAGATGGTCAGGGAGGATATCTGACATTATGGTACATTTCTGCAAATCCACGCTCTTTATCTTTGTGCTCCTATTACATGTGGAATGGAAACTTAAATATCTATGCTAGACAAGAGATCGACGGCACATTCCAGTCTTGTTAAAATTTTCCCGATTCCAGAATGGTTTGAAACATTTTTGGGATAATACATTTGACTGCCTTCCAATGGCTGCCTAATAGGATACCATACATTTAACATTTATGTACCCTGAGATAACATAAGTTTGTGTTTTACACTCTGATTTAGATCAATCATTTTACAGTTTGCATTCAACTGATCAGAAAGCATCATAGTAGAACCATGTTTGTTACAGATGTCAAACACCAACCACCATGCCAAACACCCAACTTTCAATTGCTGAATGCTGTCCACAAAAAAAATGTTGGAGACTATCAGGTAATATAATGAAATATGTATATATAGATAATACAGAAAATCATTACTGAGCAATGACCAACTCTGACTGACTCAACACATTTACGTTTTTTATGAGTAACGTTAAGAGAAAAAGATGAAAAAGGGTAACACTTCAACTGTCTACCAAGGCAAATGTTATACACATGTTCAGCATTTGGACTTATGGCCGACCACTTGCAGGATCTCCCAACATATCTAATATGTTATGACCAATGTAAATGTATTAATATACCATACAGATAGAAACACAAGAAGTGCACAAACTTTCTACCTTTTCCAATGGTTTCAAACCCACCATTTCAACCTACAGCTTCTAAATACCATGATACATACATTTTTATACATCATATTCTATACCCTTTGCATTCATTTGACTTCAAAAGAGAATTGACCAATGACATGCGCATTGGCGTATGTTTCTTCTAGCTCGCTGATTGGTGGAAGAAAGGTCAGCGCGTAGGTCAAAAGTGATTTATTACCCAAACTGTCACCAGTACCCGTCGTGGGGGCGGGGCTACTAAACTGTAATATGGTCTCTAGTAGGCAGAATGTAGTTTAACTAGACTCTGCACGCAGGGTACATATTCTATGGCTGTAAGCATAGACCTTGCCAAGGCTACAACTAACTTGCTAACTGAACCTCACACATATAGTCATACACACAGTAACAGGACTGATTCCATTTCCACTAGAACAAAACTAAACTGTGGTATAGAAAGAATGCAAAAAATGAAAATGGAGTGAAGATATCATGTGGAGCCTAAGTTTCTGTACCATCATAGGCAAGTCTAGATGTGAAAGTATTTGGTATTTATACAACTGACATGCTTCAATCCAGCTAGCCATAATAATGGTTGATACAACGCATACTTCTGCTTTATCGTACAGTAAAAAAATGAAACCAAATCACTTTTTAAACTTTTTGAAACATACTTATGTGTTACTGTATGCAATCATGATCAGCAATGTGCCTGGTCTCATTGTTTTTTAAACTTTACGATAAATTGTAATTTTAATATTAAAACAGTTGCTAACTTCCTAAAAGCAACAGATTTTTTTCAAAAAAGGAAAATTGCCTGATGCTAATCAAACTCCTGCTCTTTTAAAAACATCAAATTGTTAACAGTATAGCACTTTTTTGGGTGACCCACTGTTTCCTCATCCTTTGAAAGCAACGGACCAGACATCATGCTAAACAAAGTGGATGTCAAGATGTGTTCAGATGACAGTTGCCTTACTCAGAACATCTCCATTTAATGATGTCTCAAAATGTGAACACTTAAAACCTGGCCACAATTATGATACACTATGTCATCTCATAAAATACCTTGTTAGTCTTCTATTCTGTTCACAGAAACATACAGAGAGGCCTCAAAGCATACAGAACCCTGTTTTCTTCATTACAGTAAAACTTTACATAAATGGAACATCTTTGGTGACTCTTAAAATTGTTCCACTTTGGATGTGTTCTACTTGATGAGGTTCATTTATCATTATCAAAAGCTCAATTTGTCAGGGGACTTGTGGGACAGTACAGTTTCTGGATCCTATAATAAAGTTGTAAACGGTACAGAGAATGGGGAAATAAGGAACACAGGGGTTGATGCAAAACTACAACCACTTAGTCAGGTTTTACTGCATGTTTCCTTCGCTTCAGTAGGTCTAATATTAGATTTACCTCCAAGGTTGAGACACTTATATGACTTCACTATTAGAGTTATGAATACATTCGAACCATTTATAAGTCATAATTCTTGAATTCGCTTAGGTATAAAACTATATCCGCATGTTCAAAAATTTAAATGGCTTCTTAAACTTGTTATGCAAAATTGAAAAATCTTGACTCTGTATATAGAATGAGTTATATGTACTTGGAAATAGAATGGGACTCTCTTAATCATTTGGTACCCAACCAAGATGCTAAATAGAAAAATCAGATGGCTCATATATTTCGAAGGTTCATAAGGCCACAAATTCCAGATTAATTCCATTCAATATTAGTCTCTAGGGGTTAGTGTCACGCTCTTCCCAGGAACTCAAACTATGTGATGATATTGGAGAAGTAGAAACTATAGGTAGCAATACATACTTAACCCAGCTAATCAAGAGGCCAGAATAAAAGGCTCAAATTATATATAAAGTTTCTAAACATATTAAACATATCTACAAGGTCTTTAGGATTTTCTAGGTTAGTGGAGTAGTATGTATAACGTGGGGGCCCAGCATCTTATATCGTCTTAATATTTTCTATGTTTCCAAATTTTACAACTCATGCAAATATACTTAAATTAAACTAGATGCAAGGTAGTTTACATATTCTGGACTGGGTATGACGGAAACCACTGCAAATGTGCAGATAACTCAGGTATTCATTCTATTCTTGTAGCGTACATATGTACAAGACCTGAAGTATATGAGGGAATTGACTGAGCTAGATGAGATCTAAACAGAGCTCAGCTTGAGAGATAACACATGAATTTAGTTCAGTACAGATTTCGAGCCCCAAAGCAGATTTATTAATATACACACTTGTTCTTCCTTTCCCTAAAGTTGATAACAGTTCTTTGAATGAACGCTTTATTTTAATTATTATTAAATTACAAGGCCTCAGAGTAGTTATTCTCTTAACCAGTCAATAAACTCTCTCTGAAATATTGCAAAAAGCCAAAGTAACTTTTAAGATATAGCACATAACTAAGAGGGCAACAAATTTGAGACATTCCCATAAATATGAGGCTATATCATTACCCTCTGCAAAATCTTGACTTTAACTACACTCTTCAATTTAACAGTATTGTTTCATCTTGCCTACATCCAATCAAAATTGAAGTAAAATACATGTAATCGTGACAATAAGTAATAATAAAAAGATTCAGGCCATATACATATATACTTCAAAAGTTACATTTGAGATTAATAAGATCCAAACTTCATCTGTATAGGTTAGAGAGTACTCAGTGTAACTAGCCGATGAGAACCTAGAGTAACATACCAATTGGACAAAAAACAGCAACGTTATCTTGCATCACACAGATGCATAAAAACACATCAACCTTCCCGCCAATTACAGCTTTTCTCATGAAGAGCCAGTTCTGCTAACTCCTCAGATTTGGCATCGTGTTATGTTCAAGCTGTCAGGAGCAATTGTTTCGAGACATATTGTGTGAGGTCCTTAATAAAATGTTGGTAAACTCACAGTTGAATACCTACATATTACATACCTTATCAATGGTTGGCACAGGGAGAACTTATTAGAGTAACCATTTATTGCGATATTACATGTGTTCACTGGCTACTAGGTTATCAAAGTTTATTAAGCATTAAAATACTGGAACAATTGCCAAAAGTTTTTATGTGGATGGTTTGTTTAAAAACGTAGTAAAAACATCTGATACAAGCATGAGTCACAATCCAATTCTTAGACTATCTAAAAATGATATGTTACCTCAGAATACAAATAGAGAGGATAAACATTAAACAAACCCATGCAAAGATTATGAAAGAAATGTATAACTTGATATTTGTGGTTACGTCAAACTTTGTCAACCTCCAATATAATGGTGATATTATAAATGTCCTATGATATGTGCTTGATCAATTATAACTAATGTCTAACTGAAACCTGAAGGTGAATAAAGTTATTTAGTTCATAGGGGTTCATTTTTGGTATGATCTTAAATTAGGATTCCTAGAACACCATAGTTACGACAGTTCCAAAAATGGACCCATGTAAACATTTAAGCATTAAGTAAATAACATTCATAATGCAATACTATGAAACCTGTAAAAGAGAACACTTCTTTTTATTTAACGATTGGCATTGGTTTTGGTCATCTCGACCTAAGAACTCATATACTAGTATGTTACTCCAGTACAGGTTTCCCGACATACACTACAATAACAGATTGTAAGGTACTCACCGAAATAGTCACCAGAGGGGTGCCGTTCCATATCTTCCTCTAGTCTTAGGGTTAGGGCATCAACTTTACGTTCCGCCTCACTAACAGGACCTTTCTCTACCCCCATCACCCTGGCAACCCTTTCTCCTGTTGGCAAGGAAACCATATCTCCAGCTGCTATGGAGATGCTACCATTTGGTTGGGGACTGGCTGTACTTGAGCCACTACTCACAGAAAGAGGAGAGTTTTCTATTATGTTATGGGGTCCGTGATAAGGTGGTGGGGGTTCTGAAGGCTCCTTAGTAGAGATTGTAAGATCTTTGGTTAATTGCTGGGTTAACGCACGGAGTCGTAGCTCCGCCTCTAGATCCGTCTGACCAACAGAGGCCACATTAGGTAATGATCCACTATTGACACAATTGGCAAGTCTATTAGGTGCCGTCATGGGTACGCTATTAAGAGAGGTCATGGAACCCTGTGGTGTGTTACTCCCACTGTGAAGCATAGCCAGCAAAGGCTGGGATGTATACTGGGTTCTGTGTCCACCCTGATCCCCCATAATATGCCTCCCCTGGGCAGGAGCTTTGCCTAACATATGATGCTGTTGAGTGACATGCTGTAAATGTTTCAGCCTTGAGTCGTATACATTCGGGGCAGGAGGTGCTGGTTCATTATAGCGACTATCACTCACTGATATTACCCCCGCTCTGGACATAGCCAAGAACCGAGAGTCTAACATATCTTGACCTACAGCCTGTTGTGAAACTGGAAACCTACCATCTCTTGGACTTTGCTTTTCATACAAAGGATTTGATATTCCTGTTACACTTGCACGTGGGCTAGAATGTTTAGAATCCGCTGAATTTGCGCTGAGACTGGATCGCTGGCTGGCAGCGCTTGAGTGTGGACTGTTTGTATATCTCTGATACTGAATAGCATCATAAGGAGGAGGAGGTCCCGAAGGAATTACGAAGCTTGTACGAGGACTTCCATTTGATCCTTTAGAGTCGTAACTTGTAATACTAGCGATACTTGATCGGGGACTAGAGTAGTTTGATCCAGCTTTGGTATAAGGGGGCGGGGGGCTTGGTTTGGCGACGAAAATCATCTGATTTTGCTTCGTGAGAGTTGTGCTGAGATTCATTGTGCTTGTATTCTCTGGGATAGATTGTCCGGAGCCGTGTGTTGAGCCAGGGCTCACGCTGTATATCTTTCCAGTTGGGAATTTACCTACCATGTTGGGATTCACATGACGATCCATATTCATACGTCAGGGTAATAATCCATGAGCTTATCCAAATAATCCTGAACCGAACTGTGTGGCGATAAATCTATTTTCCAAAGTATAGATGTAAATGGATGGAATTCGTTCAATGAAGTACACATATGACTAATCCAGACTTGTATGATTTATCAACATTCCAGGGTGGTTGGTTTGAACTATTTCTGGAGATATGACACACACTAACATATGTAGGCTATGTTCACCAAAACTAATCAAAACTTCAATCTGTGAATTTTGACATTTGCTATAAATCCAAGAATTATTGACAATGCTCCGCGTTTTGAAGTGGTTGGTCTCAATCCAAGTATTTATTGATGTTATCCGGTAGGTAGACGAGATTTTTAAATAGATACTGGCGCTATGCCAGTCTAAAATCCATGTGATGACTTTCTTTGAAACTTTTCCGAACTTTTCCAATGGCGGTGTTTGGCGCATTAATATTTGGTCTACTTTCTGTCAATTAAGAATCTGATTACTGTACGGTATAATGTCTTTCGCTTGGATTGAAGTAGTATCGACTGAAAATTTTAAATTTAAACTTGTACTTAGTTTAACATATCTATCACAAATATCTAGTATTGTAACGTTTTTAATGAGAACTATATTCTCTAATATGATTCACCGGCGCCGGAACTACTAAATGACAATTAAAGATGGCAGCACCTTACTGTATCAAATAATTGGAGGCTTTTGAAATAGTCATACAGCTTTATGCATTATTCATCCTCAGACTTTGATACTATCTTCTTTTCTGTAAATAAAGCTTGAAAAGTTCCTTGCCTAGGTAAGGGACAAGTGCAAAAACACTTTAGAATGATGAACCACAAAAACGACCAAAATTTCATTTTATTAAGTTATTGAGGATATATCGAGGTTTAACTAGAATATTTTCAGTAGTTTTGACTGTCACTTCATAACATTTTTAAGTCTAAAATAAAAGCTCCTTCAGGACATTGGAAAGATATAATTTAAAACAAGGTCATAATACTGCATTATAATTTTCAGATAACTTTTCATAATTTATTCAGCATTTGAATAAAACAGTGTATTATACATGTAACTAGATAGAATGTTCAGCTTGAACATTCAGTTTAAATATTATGTACATGACATCTTACACAATAACAAAATACTAATAATTAGTCTTGCATACTAATTAATAAACATTGACTCCCAAAAAATGAAAACTTCATATGGACACCTTAGAAATAATAGGAAAATTATTTTCTAAAAAGAGCTGACTTTATTTAACAATAACTTTTAAATCTTAAAGGTTATGTGGCAAAAGTTGAAACTTCAAGTAGAGCTACAAATTATTTATTTCAGTTTAGAACGAAAACACACCAAAAATCTTTGACTTGAACCAACAGTAACTTAGTACAAGTCTTCTTTTTTGTAAATATTATACTGTACATCTACTTAATTTGCCGCTACTTATTTTGGCAGATTTTTGCTGTTCTGAACATTTGGCAGCTACTTAATTTGGTGGACTTGCTGTTCTGAACATTTGGCGGCTACTGAATGTGGCAGATTTGCTGTTCTGAACATGTGGCGGCTACTTATTTGGCAGATTTGCTGTTCTGAACATATGATGGCTACTTAATTTTGCAGATTTGCTGTTCTGAACATTTGGCCACTACTTATTTGGCATATTTGCAGTATTACAATGCACTCATGGTAATACTTTACATGATTCTAAAATTGCTGGGGAATTAGTGGCTACTTAATTTGGTGGACTTTTAACAATTTGGCGAATTTGCCAAAATAAAACAGCTGCCAAATTAAGTAGAAGTACAGTAGTTTGAAAGTTTTATATTTTTTATATCAATTATGTGTTTTCGAGGAGTTCACAAAATGGTTGCAAGTGTAGAATAACAAAAAAATTTCCCTTATGAAATATTTTCTGTACATGTATATAAACATGATTGATGCACAAATATGTGATAGAGAAGGTAATTCGATTTTCACAACTGCACAACCAGTTTGCAACATTATACATACTAGTATACATAAATATACAATGATGTTGAATTGATGCATGGTACTACAGATATACTGCACATGTTTTACTGTACATGTTTACTATATTGCCTTTATATTCACCAGATCAATCCAACATTACATGGTGGGCCAACAAATTGAATACTCCGCCAATTCTAGTTAAGAAGGTAGCAAAACAAGTGTCCTGAAAATTATTGCGTACAAAATCAAAACATTAAAAATCTTAAGTCAAATGATGCATATTTTACATCATGATTTGCTTGACATAAAAGTAATGCATTAATGCCGAAACTGGTTACTAAAATTATATTCATGTATTTCTATCATTTCAGAAAAATATTTACTCTATTTTTATTCAATATTTTTTTCCTTATTCTACTCACATCTATCTCACTATTGGAGCCCAGGTAGTCTTTTGTATATTCAAATCAACATTTAATCCATATTGACTTTTTAATCTTCTACCTAATATCTAACAGACATGTCTTAACTATTTTGAAAAAAAGTCTGAAAATCAGGGTTTCTGAGCTAAAATGGCTGTGTGGATGAATAAAGATAGAAAGATAAGTAAATAAAGAAAATAAATAAAGTAACTCATGAATGGTAGCAAAAGTCTCAGGATGACATTAAAGGTAGTATCAGATCTAGCTAGCAACTTTACAAGAATAGTTTCAATTTTAGAATATTCTTAGGCTCTTAGCTCATATTATTCCTAGAGATGTCTATCTTCAAATAATCCCCATAGTGTATATTTCATTTCAAGAAAGCTAGATATTTACAATAAAGTAAATTCTAAGCAAATTGTCGTAACCATGAGGTTGTGAGTTCAAAATGCGTGAGCTCCTTGTATTTATTCATTTACCAATTTATAAAATACCGCCAATCTTTTGTCACCCTGTATAGATCTGATTCTGCCTTTAAAAATATTAAATCAAAAGTTTGTCTTATAACAGACATATTTTTAGATAAAACTATGAAACTGTGTCTGTCCTGCCAGAAATGAGTAAGTCTTACGGATGTTAGACAAAGTGTTTATTTAAAAATCTGTCTGAGATAGATGAACTTTTAATTGACCATGGATACTGTCAGATTGATGAACATTCACTGTCTCCCATTTTAATAACGTTTATTATTAGTTTTAACAGTTTGAGAGTAAGAGACAAGAGACATAATGAATAACTTCTTCCAAAGATTTCTTTATTGTAAATGAGCAAAATGTGTTTTTCGTGAATTTTGACATCCCACCCTGTATAGTAATTAATGTAGCTTCTACAGCATGAAAGATGTGACATATGAATACATCTTATTTGAGCCAATCAGATTCCCCCATCTTTTGGTATAGTATGGAAAAATTCAGAATTCATAAATGATGCAATGGTTCCATTTCTATGGCCCACCCTGTATACCATATTGTGCAAATGTGACATGTTCTGTTAACTACTTTAAAGCTTGAATATTTACAGTAATTGCTATGTGAGACTTGTACACTGAAATGTGGACTGGTCTACAGCCCTATAGAATCATTGTGGCAGTCAATAAAGTATCTGCGAAGAAAATTCAACTGTTTTTGACATTTTTTCTCAGACGTGTATTTACACAGTAAATAAATTACAAGTTTCTTCCTCCTGATAGTTGGTTTTCCACACCTATGTCCCACACTAGTGAAAAAGTTGATAACTTGTCTTGAATCCAATGACCTGCCTGATTTTTTGGCATCTCTCTACAATATAGATTTTGTAACTCCATATTTTCAGTTTATTTCAACGGAGGCCTAGGACTTCTATATTACATTTAATGCAATATATATTCTCTTTGTATAAGCAGTCTCCATCAATATTCACTGTTCTTAACATTTGGTTATGAAATATACACAATTTTGGCAAATGTTGTATTTGATAGTTATATCTATGTACTGTTGTAATCCATGTAATGTTGTAGTTGAAATTGTATTCCATGCACAATCTAGGGCAATGTCATATTTTACAACATATCATCATAGTGTTGTATTTCATATTGTGCTGTCAACAACCAGACACAAGTTTTGAAAATGTTGTATACAATCCAAACACATACAGACTTGGCAGATCAGGAGATCTTCTTGTAAGCATTACTATTCCAATATATCGATCCTATCCTGAAAGTAAATATATAGTGTTGATCGTATTATTTTCATATTTCTGTGTTCTCATCTGTATTGACATCTATCACATAGCACACTTATCATTTATGAAAAATATGACTAAAATAGAGCCATATTCAAGGAGCTCCTTAAGAACATTTGTAATAATTGAAATATGTTTTGACATTTAGGGGGTATTGATCTATAAATGATTATTCTGATTCTCCACAATCACAATAGAGCAGCAAAAAATACAAGAAGCTTTAAGGTAGATTTGCAGAATGAGAATATTATGAAACCAAACATTGGTAACAAAAAATGGTGGTGACATAAAAACTGATGGTTCTTTTAGTCGTCTTACTTCTTGTCCACTTATCTCAATCCAAGTCATCAGTAGAAGGACCTCTACTGGCAATTTGTACACCACTCCGCTCCGTCACCAAGGGATTAGTCAGGGTTTCAGACAAGGGCGTGTCAAGAGAATCTGAGCCAAACGCTATGTGACCAATAGGATTCAAGTATTCCTCTGGCTCTGGTGGTTTCTCATCATCAAGGTCCTCTGCCAGGTCAATAAAGTCTGGGAAAGCATTGCCTCCTGTGTCTGTACCTCCTGTGTATTCTATTATTTCATTTCCTGGAATAATGGTGAAAAGATACATGTTATTTTAGCAATAATTAATGGGAAACACTACTGCAAAGTTTGCCTGTATAAAGTTTGTTAATTTTATACTTAACTGAAACATACATTTTATTGAATATTGTGTAAATGTGCAATTTTTTAAAAATTTTCATTTTTTATTATTGAACCTTCAAAACACATTCTTATTGTACATACCTTACAATTACCTAAAATACACAACATCTTTATGACTGCTATTGTACATACCTATTACTATGTTATTGTACCTACCTACAATATTGTTGCCGGCTGGGTTGGGCTCAGTTGAGCTATTATCTACCAGACTGGTAAGGTACTGCAACAACAATAAGACACAGAGTGAACAATATAGCACACTTGGTTCACAAATCAATTAAAAAAAAAACGCATTACACAAATTCAGTAAGGTAATCCCAAATTGGTCACCTTAAATCTACAAAGTATGTCCACAAACTAGTTCTAGATTCTCATAACAAGTGTCATCCCTGAAAATTTCAAATCATTTATTTAATGGTTTGCCTTTAAATGTGTAGACTAGACAAAACTTAAAAGACAAGATTTTGGGATGGAAAGTTTTCAAACACACTAAATTCAATAAATACCTCTGCTTTGTTTTCTTGAAATGGAGGGAGAAGTCGCACATGGTCAGGAGTCGGGGGGCATGGTGCTTCAGGAGTGAATAACTGAAACAACAAGATACCAAGAGGTAATAAAGAAGAACATCTGTAAATAGATTTTGGCTTTTTCAATCAGATTTTTAGGTTCTATTTACTTGCTTCATGTGTCATAGGATTCATCAAGAAAGGCAGATTCCTGTACATTTTTGGGATGACAATAAAGCTAACAAGGCATCAATACGCAAAATGTCACTACCTACTATTTGTTACAGAATACAGATGCTGAACACCAACAGCCAAACACCAACCGCTGAACACATTCCACAAAAAGTTGGAGACTATAACAATATGTCACAACTTCTGGTAGCGACATCGAGTCGAACCTTATCAAAAATGTAACACCTCTACTAGAGGCGGAACATCTTTGTAAGTGTAACTTTTTTCAGAGTCCCAAGACCAACTGACTTAATGTTAAATGAGCCTCTATAAGTGTTACACCTCACAAGTGTAACACCTTTTAAAGGTATGTACAAAAGGATAATGACAGGATTATGATAATTTACTGGAATGTATGCCAGAAGTAAGCTTACTTACCCCAGATAGTGTAGATGGGTCTAATTGTAAAGTTCCTCCCCCATTACCAGATAAGATGTCTCTCACCATATCCAAGTCACTGTCCATGTAATTCAGGTCATCTGTGTAATCAATTCTGGAATATTCAATGAAAGTTATATGAGTGTGTAATCATGTATGAATTGTCACAATCTGCGCAAGGTTCGCCTTTTCTATTTGGTTTGTTTTATTAGGCGAATGGCAAAATTTAATGGATTTCATTCTAACCAGTCTGGATGGTGTAATGGCTAGATTCAGTAATGTCTTTATTCCTAAAGGTGTTAAATTCAGTAGAACACAAAGCATGTGATATATATGTGGTATATTTCCTGTAAAGTATATTGATTGCTGAATAAATGAGTGTCATACTCCTGTGCCAGTTCTAGCCTTGAAACAAATCACTGTAGTAGGGAAACCTTTAGTCTCAGCATCCATAATTGAGAATATAATAACATGTTTATGTTATTTAAACAACACGACAATATGTGATCTTCACAAAATCAATCTACATTCAAAATCAGTGTTTGTATAAAACTGAAGGTACAAATGTACCATTAAAATATTCTTATATTAAATATTTGTTGATGCAAGCATTGAAAAGATGAAAATCTATTTTGGCCTTTTAAAAGATTCCATGGTGGTGAGTTAGACAAGTGGATGTGCTAAGGAAATGACACAGATGTTGGCTTCAATCAATTCTAAAGTGAAAAAAAACTTCAACCCATTTCCCCATTGTCCTGGACGACCATGATATTTTTCTCAGGAGTATATCCCTATAGAGTATATAGCTAACCCGTATTTGTTGTCTGCGTTCTTTGTATTCAAGTCATATAGGACTTGCACATACTTATCAAGAGATAGGTCTGTGTTAGCATCTAATTGGCTGACAGCATTTGAAGTTGTTGGGCCAGCACCAGCATTTATCAGGTCATTCAGATCCTCAAGGCTCACTACAGTTGTAGGCTCGTTGTCTGGGTTGTCTGGGTTGTTTGAGATGTCCAGGTTGTTTGATTCAACACTGTTTGACAATGACATCACAAGGGGTTCTAAGTTTGATCCCTAAAATGGTAAATAAAATACATTTATATTTCTATTGTATCTTTTCAAACATATTTACTAGCTATTATATTTATAAATTAGATATACACATGGAAAAATGATAAAAATTGGACATGTAATGGAACAAAAAGTCGTACATATTGTCGAAAAAAGGTTACATATTACTATATAATTATTGATGTATGTACATGTATGATTAAATATTTGATGATGTTTCTGTTGGAAGATAAATTCTAGACAATAAAGAAAATACAATAATTATGGGTATCTTAAAAGGACATTTTCTCCAAAATTTAAAAAGCCTATAAGTGATATATATGACAATGTGTCATACACAGCCAATATAATTCGACGCCGTTTCGGCATCGAAAAAATTCGGCACTGTTCCGTCACCGTTTCGACACCGTTCTGGCACCGAAACCTTCCGACACCAAAATTTACTACCAGACTAGTCAGTCCATTTGGTGCCGAAACGGCACCGAAATTTGGCACCGAAACGGCATCGAAAATCAGATTGCATTTTCGGTGTGTATAAAAAGAGATCAAGAAAATGTCATGTGGTTCAATGTATTAATTCAAACATCTCATCAAAGTGTAGTACAAAGAAAATATACATGGTAAAATTTGAAAAAAATGAAAGTCGTATGCGAAAGAGGTAATTTTGAAATAAACTTTGAACTATGGCTTATTCCTCCTCTAGCACTAAGCTATGTCATCAAATACAAAAAAAACATCTTCGATACATTCTGAAAACTTGTGAATGATATGCAAATCATGAATTCTTAGTTTGTACAGATACACCTCGGCGAACGGTTCCATGCTAATGACTTAAAGCTGGATATTAGACTTGTACGGATGTTATGGTTTCCCAATATTGTCCCATCCCTCTCGATTTTGGTCGAGAAACGCGACAGGACAACCCCTGAGTACCAAAAATTTCAGTCTATGTTTGGAATGCACTAATTCTCCTGTATTTGCCACCTGATATAAGATTTTGCTCCAATAACCCGGTGATGCAAACATAACACCCTATGTTCCTGTTATAAAGATTATTTGAAATGTGAATACAACATATTTTTATCTCAATATTGTGACCGCTACAAGTAAACAAATACTTTCAATTCAGCACTTTCTGTTGCATTTCTCAAGATATTTACAATAGAATAAGTCAGGTTTGTAGCGAAAATGTAAGACAAAGTCAAAATATATTCAGGTAAGTATCACTTCTAATGCAGGAAATAAATATATTTTGGACGGGTATGCTTATGGTAACCTTCTTCTAAGGCCTCTTGTCGAACTGCCATAATGTATTATAAACTACGGGTATTTGATTTATTATGTCCGGCCCCAAATGTCCCATCCTAAAATGGATAATTCGGGTCCAGTCCCAAAATATATTTGTCTTGTAATATCCCTCAGTGAACTCCTATTTATAATTATCAATGATGAAGAAACTTACACAATACCCCACTTTTTTATTGTTTTGCTTTCAAAAACACTATAAGCTAATTTTCTATTGAAAAACAATAAAAATGGGGATTCAGGGGTAATTAAAAAAAAATATTTGGCGATTTGGATGTACTTTCAATCACATAGCTGCTTTAGCTTAGAGATTCAATCTCTTAGATAAACATACATTTACAGTTTGAACATTTCAAAATGGAAAATATGTATGACATTGGCTACAAAAATCAGTACTTTTCTTCTAGAGATTGACTTTGGGTGATGAGAGGCGACATCTATTCTATCTTGTACAGACTGATCTGTCACGTCTTTTATGACAGGACCCGTAGCTGAAGTATCAAGCAGGTCACTGTAGTCCAACTCAGCAAGATTCTAAATTAACACATAAATGGTGCATGTCAATGGCACATATTGGGGTTGTACAAGAGATGCACTCAACCACTAAAATTACAGAAAAATTGGTCACCCATCAGCCTATAACAAGACATACAAAACATAATTCCGGTGCGCAACCCTTATACAACATAATTTCAGTTTACAAGCCTCATGAAAGAAAATTTCATTTCATTGTTCAACCCTCACAAAACATAATTTCAGCATTCAACCCTCAAACAACATAATTCCAGTGTTCAACCCTAATATAACATAATTTCATTGATCAACCCTCATACAACATAAGTCCAGTGTTCAACCCTCACATAACATAATTTCATTGTTCAACCCTCACATAACATAATTTCATTGTTCAACCCTCATACAACATAAGTCCAGTGTTCAACCCTCATATAACATAGTTTCAGTGTACATCCCTCACATAACATAATTTCAGTGTTCAACCCTCACATAACATAATTTCAGTATTCAACCCTCACATAACATAATTTCAGTGTTCAACCCTCATACATAGATTCAGTGTTCAACCCTCATACAACATAAGTCCAGTGTTCAACCCTCACATAACATAATTTCAGCGTACATCCCTCAAACAACATAATTCCAGTGTTCAACCCTCACATAACATAATTTCATTGTTCAACCCTCACATAACATAATTTCATTGTTCAACCCTCACATAACATAATTTCAGTGTTCAACCCTCACATAACATAATTTCATTGTTCAACCCTCATACAACATAAGTCTAGTGTTCAACCCTCACATAACATAATTTCAGCGTACATCCCTCAAACAACATACGTCCAGTGTTCAACCCTCATATAACATAAGTCCAGTGTTCAACCCTAATATAACATAGTTTCAGTGTACATCCCTCACATAACATAATTTCAGTGTTCAACCTGCATACATAGATTCAGTGTTCAACCCTCATACAACATAAGTCCAGTGTTCAACCCTCATACAACATAAGTCCAGTGTTCAACCCTCATATAACATAAGTCCAGTGTTCAACCCTCATATAACATAAGTCCAGTGTTCAACCCTCACATAACATTATTTCAGTGTTCAACTATCAGACAACCTTATTTTAGTATTTAAACCTTGCACAACCTTATTTCAGTATTTACTTAACTCTTGTGCAATATATTTTCAGTTTCTAACTCTAAACATCTGATTCTTACCTGGTCTTCTTGTTTGGACAGCTTAGCAGACTTAGGTATAGAGGGCGCATCCTCCAGCATAAGGGGCATACGTCGCTTTAATGTGTTGCGAGGCTGGGGCTGGGCAGATACCATTGTTACCAGGAATTGTATCAACTGAATTCAAAAAAGTGTAAGCAATTTTCATACAATGTCATGTGAGTCTCACTGGAGATATTTCATATGTTCCTTTTATTATTTTCAGAGGGAGCAGCTAATATCAATTTATTCAGAGTTATACATGTTGAAGATAAATTCAAGTGTATTTTGTATTGCAAAACATGAAAACTAAAGTATGCACAAACCTTATTAACAATTTGTTGTTGTTTAACATGCTTCTGTCGGAGATTTGCCACTTCACGCCACAACTGTGTATTCTCCCTGAATAAAATACAGTAACAGTACATTATATTACATTATTAAATCAATTTTTGGGCCCAACTTTTTTTCCTAGGTCCACCTTAGGGGGGGATGTCCCCCCTAATTCGCAAGTGTGACATATACACGATTATTCGAAAAAATAGCCTAATGCAATAAAGAATATTCTTAAATGTCATGAAGTAAAGAACCAATCAGCATGTAGAGATTCTTCACCTCTTTAAACCATCCATCTTGTTTGTTATGGTATCCTGTTTCCCCTTCATGTGTCTGACTTCCTGCAAGACCTTTGAGACATCCTCTTGTTTGACCTTCATCTCTTCACCTCTACCTTGGGTCACCTGCAACAAGATGGAAACAATGTTGTGGTGTGTCATGGCTCAATCCATCAATGTCTCACTCAAATACTATAAATGGCAACTTTTGGTGGACTAACACGATGAAAAATCAGATTTCTCAAAAAAGAGGCAAATATAAGAACTTGGACAAATGGTGTAAATCACCACCATAAACTCGATAAAATGAAAACAAGCATTGATTTGAAGAATTTTTTCCATTCATCTGAAAACTGTTTACAAACAGATGGAACAACTAGTCCGGTTGCCAAATACCTCTGACAGGCTAAAGGTCGTTTTAAGGTATAAAGTTTTTTTCTGTGCATTTTTCTATTGCTACACATGTATACTTTAAAATGAAATAATCTGCAAAATCATATATGTTGAGCATTTTTTTTAATCGCACCATATAATTATGTAATTAATTTCAAAGGGGGCGTGGCACTTTGAAAGTTATAACATGTTAACAGTCATTAAAAATTATTAGACCACTGAGAAATATGTGTTTTGGAGAGATAGAGAGAACAAAGGTTTAATTTAACATACATTGCGTGTTTTCAGCCTGACCCCAAGGGGCCGTGAATGGGGGAGGGGTCGGGAAAACAGGAATTTTGAGATCTTTCTGAAGTATAGCTTTATTATACTCAAATGAAAGGTAATTAAGAGTAGATTGCAAATATTGTATCATTTTTCTGATTCGGGCCTCCTGAAATTCAAAATGGCCGCCTAGTGTGGGATTTCGCAATAATTTTGTGATCTTCAAAGTATGCGTATTTTATATTCAATTTGAAGGAATGTGAGAGCAGGTCACTGTTATAGTATTGTTTTTCCTAATTCATGCCTTAAGATTCAAAATGGCTGCATAGAGCAGGAATTCTGTATTACTTAAAGATCTTTTCAAAGTAGTGTTACATGATACTATATTAGATTTCAAATAGTATTGTCTTGGTGATTTATACCTTTGAAACCCCTTAATGGTCACTCATATGCTTAAATCTGTGAAACTTCTTTTCTATCTCTAATGTATGTATGTCTTAATATCTGTGCGAGTTGCTGATATCTAGTTTGAGATTGATTACATAGTATTACAATAAAACTTTGTTAAAAGATAATACCTATAGTACATATTTTGATAGAAGCACATGCAATTATATTCAATGTACCTCAATTTATAAAGTCATCATGTGATACAAAATATGATGCTTTAAAAACTAATTTGTCAAAAAATGTCATCCAAACGAAAATGTGACTATACTAACATGCACATAGTATTTTTCACATAGAGGTGTGAAAAATTACAATTGTGATCTTTCCCCTCTAAGAGATTACTGAATCACCAACTTAGTTATCAACAATTATTTACCTCTACAAATATCGCTTGGGACTATACTGCTGGAGTTCAAGGCTTCTGCTGTTGTATCTAGATTGATACAGATAATTTTAAACAATTTTGGAGCAAACATGTCCTTTTGGAATGGATGGAAGTCAACCCATACATTGGTGATATTGGCAGTACAACTAAAAAGAATATTGAGCTATTAAATCCCCAAGTATGGAGGATACTTTACCAGATTGACTACAATGAAAGTGAAATCAGTTAAGCCTGCCACCTTAACAAAGTACTAGCCATTGGCTGACATGAAACCATCCGACCCTAGCACAATGATGACCATGATGATTAAAGCTAAACATCTTACAAATGAATATGGCATGGAATATACAATTTTAACACAGATCAGCAACTCTATAAAATAGCAATAGCATTAGGTGTGACTAGAGCATATTCAACCAACTTGGTGGAATGAACCAAGTTATTATGATTGTCAGATTCCTCATCAGTCTGAGCTGACAACCTGTCCACCACGGAATGCGTCATGATAAACCATGACATCTTATTACTTCTCAGCCCTGTTCCAGGTGAAACAGAAATTATGAGTATCAGAATGCACAGAATGTAAGCATCCTCCGAGTGTTAAGTAAATACCAAGCTGGTGTGCAGAAATTGAGTGTGATATAATATCATAAATATGATCATGATATATATAGCGTATTCTTCTTGTGCACCATAACCACAACCATCAGTTGCAGGATCAGTTCACCATGCAGCGAAAATCACCTGGGAGGGCAGTGGTGGATATAAAGCGCTTAAAACAATCTACAACAGCACTGAAGTTCGAACCCTACCCCCAACAATTAAGGCATTTGCAGATTGCAGAAATTTCAAGGGGGCTCATTGGAAAACTTGAAATATGCAGATTGTCCCAATCCATCCGCCCTTGAATCAACACAATTTAGTTGAGAATTATTACTTAGGAGCTTTACCAGAAGACATACAGTGTGTCTCATCAGAAGTCTTGAAGCCCATCAATGTGGATGGCTGGATGGCGCGCTTCAGGAGAAAATGACTGTATAGCAGTACAGCGACAGTGTTGATTATGTAATTGTTATTTAACTAGAAAACGACAACTCCACGGAGTAGCAAATCCCAACGAACACTACAATATATTCATGAATCTGTATATGGCATGATGTGATTATTTACCATCTACTCTACCCTTGGTCAAATTGACAGATATTAAAAGGCATACATTACACTACCCCTGGTAATACGAATAATGTGTAATATCGACAAATACACCCCTTAGATATCTAAGCACGAGTGCCAAAGGGAAAGGACCAAAAGTTGTAATGGAACTTAGCAAGAAAAAGCAAACTCTAAGTGCAACCCAGTCAAGAAAAACAAACCCCATATATCCCAAAACCATGATCTAACATGACAAGAAACAATGTCTTTCCCCCGCCATTCAAGAACCAATATCACAATCCAAGACTAGAACACCAAGGGACATTTCATTCATACTGAAGTCATTACAATACATGTTGAAGAAAAAATTAGAAATTGATATCCAATACTCATAACATCAAAAATAGTTGTAGATACAAGTACTCATATAAGATAGCGCATTCAGTCTCAAATGATGTGGGATAGATAAAATCCAGTCTCCAAGTCCATAGGCGTTTCAAAGGGTCAACATCCATTCACAAAAGCCGTCGCCATAATCCATAAAACACAATAATTCACAATGGTCATCAGGAGAGAACTATGGCTGGTTTCGATCCCTATTTCTCAACCATTAATGCCAGTGCTGGGATCCACCTCAAAAGGTGCCAAGTGAAAAAATTGTGAGTTCAGCGCCAATTTCTTAAACAATTCCTACATCCTTCAGCATCTCAAGTGGTAAAACTTGAAACTTCGAAATTAATGACTTGTATTTTTCAGCAAAGACCAGAAAGTATTTCTTAAACTTTTACAAGTATAACCTTGACCTAGCAGTTTGATCACTAAAGTATTGTGTCTTGACTTAAAATCTAAATATTTAGAGCATGCAATGCCATATCTAATAAGCTAGGATACGTACACCCCATATGATAGAGCTAGGCACAAAAGCTTTCGAACACTTCACTCCCTTCAGTCGTTCGGGGTACATAAAACATTTGTACCTAGCCCTGCATGGTGTTATCGTTGATATAACACCTGCTCTTCAGTCTATATTTCTTAAATATAGTATAATATAGCCTTACTTTGAAGAAATCTCTGAGTAATAGCGAATTTCTACTCTAGAAACAATACAATGATTGTTATCTACTTCAATTTGAGTATAAATGAATAAACACAAGGAGCACACACGTCTCAAACTCGTGGTTACAGCACCTAATTGCCTAGTTTGAACGTGCTGGCGCTCAAGCCCTCTCGGCCATACAGACATACTTTGAATGGATCAGGAAATTATTGTGTAATCCTACATTAGGCAGCCATTTTGAATTTTTCGAGGCCTGAATCAGAAAAATGATACAATATTTGCAATCCACTCTAAATTGCCTTTCATTTGAGTATAATAAAGCTACACTTCAGAAAGATCTCAAAATTAATGAAAATTTCTTTTTCCCCACGCCCTCCCTCCTATACTCAGCCCGGGGGGGGGGGGCAGGGTGAAAAACATAGAATATATGTGGAAAAGATGGATGTTGTGAATATACTACCAAAATTTAAATAAAAAATATTCAGTACTTTGGTTTAAAAAGAAAGACTTAATATTTTCGCGAAATAGTCCCGTCATTTTTAAAGTGGTGGCCATCTTTACAACAGACGAATGGGTGGAGGACTTCACTCTATGTCTTGGATAATAACCAATTAAAAGCAATTTGCCTTTGCCTACAAATGCATTAGTTTGTGAAATATTGATCTTAAAACTTGGATTTTCTAAGATTATCGATATAAATCTGCAAAAAACAATTATTAGAAAAAATGATGACTCAGCACTTTTTAAGACATTCTAATTTTATGCATTTGTCGAGTTTTGAAGAGGACTGTGTTAAATAAGTGCTTAATATAACCTCACAATATATTTTTCAGTGAGATAAATTAGAATAATTGAAAAATAAAGTAAAAAATTTGCTGAGTCAGCGGAAAAAAATGCTCAACCTATAAAATTTTGCAGATTGTTTAATTTACTCAAGAATGTCAAGTACTATCAGAATATGCAAAGAAAAAAACTTTATACCCTAAAACGACCCCTTCCTTCTTGGCCACCGGACTAAACAGGTAGATAGAAAAGTGGACGTTCCAAAGTTTCAACATGTAAGCAAACAGAAATACCGCTTAAGTAGATTTGGATGAAAACTGTGAGATTTTCAACAAAAACATTGGATTTTGCTTGGCTCTATAAAAATTCCAGTGATCTATGACTGAGCTATCGTCTATCTGTTTGTATGCTACCTTTCGTTTGATGTTTTCCAGCAGGTGTTCCTGGTCTCTCTGAAAGTATTGGTGGTAGAACTCCAGATTATCACTCTCCACTTTCACGCCAACATCAACATTTAGGGCCTTGCGGAATCCATCTGTGAAATGAATGTACAAAGATACACATACATAGGGAAGATGTGCTTTAAAACTTGCATTAAATAATATGAGAAATTACCGTTTTTGTGTATGGGCAAATAAAGGTATGGCAAATGGTTATAAGATGGGCCAAAAATCAATATTTTAATGTTTTTTACTATTCTGGCCCAGTCTGTATTTTGGTACACAAAAATACTGGTAAATGAGTTTACATCAATCAATACACATTTTGTGAATGAATCAATGTGCCATAAAACAAATGAAATCTTCTTAATGCAAAAATTACAGATGAAGAGCTTCAGACTAATAAATGCTCTCATCTTCATAATAAACATTATGTAGTCATGCAATATTTCAGAAAATGATATAATCATAGTAGAAGTGAAGTCATGAACTAATACTGCACCAGAATTGATGAGTCATGAAATATTTCTGAAACTGATATCATATTAGAAGTTAAGTCATGAACTAATAATGCACCACTATCTTGTACCAATGTTGATTTACTTACACATGTTTAGCTGACGGATAAAGCTGGCAATGTTTCCATGTTTGAAATATAGAGGGAGCACTTCTCTAGCAAACCTCAGCTGGTCGTACACATGGAAGCTCAGTCCACTCTGCAACATACATACAATACTTCAACATAACAATTGATATGAATACCACAGATTATTTTGAGTAATTTTACAACTGCTTCCATGCTATACTAATTTTCTATACTTTTCACTGTCGTTCTCATTTTCTGATCCATAAGTACAATGATCCAAGTGTTTACGGGTGCAAGGCTGCAAGTGCCTAGGTACAGGGTGTCAAAAAAACAGGACCGTAAGAAAGTTGAATAACTCGGTCAGTTTTGCACATTTTGCCTTGAAATTTCAGAATTATTTAGTTCATTCAATGTGAATTTTGTTGTGAAAGTTTGATAATAATCTACCAATTGAGTCAAAAACTACAGCTCCTTACAAAACATGCCCAAAATGTGCAAATCTCATCTCTATGCACAATTCAATCCGGCGAACAAAGCTGTTGATGATCCTCCTACACACATGTCTTTCTGAATGGACAAGTTTGTTCCAAGAACAATTGCTACTGGGGCTTACATCCTCCTGATGAAGGGTTACAGCATCCATTGCATTCTGAACAATGCACTCCCTGGGTGGCAATGAGGAAACATGGAATCATCAGTCTATTTTGGTTCGAAGGTGACTGGGGGACTTGCTATCACCATGAACAAGGACCAGTAAGTTCTCACCAAGTTTTGGAGGTCACTAAGCACCAGAGGGGACATCTAAGGAGATAATCAAGCAGTGGTTTCAACAAGCCAATACCACCCCAACACTGCAAATGATATGCTGAAATGGTTTAGGCAATGCTTTGGTGGTCAGCTCATCAGTTGCAGAATGCAAACCATATGGGCAGCTCATTCGCCTGATCTAAATCCCCCAAATTTCTATTTTTGAGGATTTCTCAAAGCCAATGTGTATACTGACAGGCCCCTAACAATCTTAAGAGGGCAATAACTACCCCAATATTTACCATCCACATTAATGTGTATAGGTAAGGGTCATTAACAACTTTGTTCGCAGGATTCGTTTGTGCATAGAGAGAAGTGCCTACTTTGAGCATGTTTTGTAAAGGACTGTAGTTTTTGACGCAATAGACAGATTATCATCAAACCTTCAGAACAAAATTCACATTGAATGAAGTAAATAATTCTTAAATTTCAAGGCAAAATATGCAAAATTGACCGAGTTATTCAACTTTCTTACGGTCCTGTTTTTTTTTGGACACCCTGTATGAGGCTGCAAGTGTTTGTGTGTGCCAAACTACAAGTACCCATGAGTATAATGCTGCAAGTGTTAAAGAGTGCAAAGCTACAGAAGTTTCCATAGGTACAAGGCTAAAAATTACTTCAATGCTTGGGATATGGCTAATTTGCTTCTTAAACTTGGCATTAGAACATAGAGAACAACACAGATTGTTGAGATATTCCAGTGATCTCCACAGGATTTTTTCTCAAGTGGGTGCAAAATTCTCATTTTCACAATTCAGATCAAAATTGGTCAAAATATGCCAATTTTTCATGATTTTACTCATTTTAAACTGGGTGCAAATGGATTTTCAGGTGGGTGCAAGCCTATTTTCAAAATCTCAGGTGGGTACTGCGCCCACTTGCTTTAATGCCGGGGAGATCACTGTATTCCCTTTTGAAGTTGTTTACAATGTCAAGGTATGCTGCTAGATATTGTAACTTAGGGCTATTTAGTTTTATAAACATCAAATGTCATGCTGACACAAGAGTACAACACAGTCAGTGTTTATAGGTGCAAGGGCGCAAGTACCCATAGCACACTGCTGCAAGTATCTATGAGTACACTGCTGCAAGTGTTTATGGGTGCAAGCCTGCAAGTACCCATAGGTAAAAGGCTGCAAGTGTTTATGTGTGCAAGGCTGCAAGTATCTATGAGTATACAGTTGTAGTGTTTATGGGTACAAGGCTGTAAGTATCCATGAGTATAATGCTGCTAGTGTTTATGGGTGCAAGGGTGCAAGTACCCATGAGTACACTGCTGCAATTGTTCACGGGTGCAAGTACCCATGAGTATACTGCTGCAAGGGTTTATGGGTGCAAGGCTGCAAGTGTTTGTGGGTACAATGCTACAAGTTTGCCTCTTAACCTTGGCTTTAGAGAACAACAAAGATTGTTAAGATGTTCCCTAATGAAATTGTTTACAATGCCAAGGTATACTGTTGGATATCATGATAACCTATAGCTATTCTAGTTTTATAAACATCATGTGTCATTAATGAAGGTGAAAAACTAGAACCCTAAGAAAAACTCTGATACAGGTTTAACAATGTAGTCATTTTACTAAATCACATTGTAAGCAGTATTGATCTAAATGGCTAAAAACAAATCATTTTGAATTTATTGATTATATGAACATATATAATATATCAAACTGGTAATGTACATCATTCTCAGGAAAGAAAGTTTTTGTTTCAGAAGAATCTTCTGGTTTTGCAAAATTTTAATCATTGTGCCATTGTAGGTTTTCAATAGAGGGTATGCTAAATAGCTTTGATTTGAGGATATTGCATTTTCCATCATCAAAGATACTAATTTTCTTCTATTTGATGGTATATTTGATTTCTTTATGAAATTTTCTTGATTTGATTTGCAAAGGTTTTTTTTATAAAATTTTCAAGATTTTCAAGTTCTCTTTAAAAAGGTCAGGCTAAACCCCCAATGACACAATGTTAAAAATACTATAAATATTAGGTTGATTTACTTTTTAACGATCACAATTTTAATGTTCAATCACAATCCACATGTCAACAAGATCATGTAGTAACATTCCAATGATATTTTGCGTTAATCCAAATTGAAATATTTGAAAGATCATGAAATTAGTGACTCTTGCCATAATTGTCTCAATATATTCCGGCCCTACCATATTCTACAAACATGCGTGCATGCTGTCATTTTTCTGTCTATAGTCTATTATGAGGGGATTTTAGGAATGTATGTGAAATCATATAGAAAATAAGTTCAAATATTCTTAGTAAAATAGCCAGTTTTGAGTTAGTTCATAACTGAGTTTTTAATTCTAGCAAGAACACTGAGGTAGAGAAACATTTCTCGGATCATTCACTCAATTGAATCATGTGTCTGAGGTAGTCATAAAATGCCTCTACTTTTGAATAAATAATGCAGAATGATCGATCCAGGTAAAAGAAAACCAGTGGAAATGATAGGTTATGTGCTATGTAACTTAAAATGAGGGTTGATACAACTGCATTCATAACAGAAAGTATTTATTGCACTAGTTTGGATTCATCTCAGTACATTCATACAATACATAATCAGACAAAAAATTCAGGGGAAATAATAGGGGGGTCATTAACAGAAACTTTTTAAAGTTATGAATTCGTAAATCAATTGTTGTAATAACCATGGATATATTAACGTCGCAGTTAGAGAACAATGGATTTTATGAATTCTTAACTTGAAGAAGTTTCTATAAATGCCCCCTGATTACTTTGAATTTTTTTTTTCTTAAATGATCTTTTTGGCTCTATGATAAACTGGGTTAAGGGGTTTGGAAAAGAGGGGAACCTCATAGCTGAGCTATCGAATCGTAAATTCTGGATGTGTTCGTAAGAGTTCCTATATATGGTCTTATACAGTAGGCCTAGGTGTAGGAGTAGAACAATTGAAATGCGTATACATTAGATTTCATTAGAATTTCTTACAATAGGCAAAGCAAAATGAAAGCATCAGGCAAAATAATTAAAAATCATCCATGAAACAGTTGCAAAATTCCCCAATTTTATGCTTTTTTAATGATTAATGAAACAATTGATTAAAACTCACAATCTAATTTGGGGTCATAACAAAACTGCACGACTATGAAACTCGGACCTAACTACCATAAAGTTAAGATTACAAGAAATAATCAATCATATAAATCAAGGATCAAGAGTCATGAAAGTAGAGAAAAATATTGACATTTTTCAAAACAATGTATATATCTTTATCATGATTATCCAGAATTGGCTGTCATACAAACCCGAGATAACACAGACCCTAAATGATATAGGATAATAATTCTTACCTCAATCTTTCTATTCTGCCCTGATAACATATGTAAGATAATTGGATATTCATAAAAGCTGATGAGTTACGCCTTACAAGTATTTGTGCTTATTTCCCGATCAGATCACGAGACATATACGCGAATGCCATAAAAGAAATGTAATGGGAATTTTTCTTTCATAACCTCCTATATAAAATCAGCTTATTAGTAGACATCCTATCCGTAATGATGCATGATGCAATCTTGTGATTTCTTGCATCCAAGGTTTTAATGGATTCATGATTTTGGCATTAGAGGTCACGGGCCATTGTCAATAACAAAATGGGCTTCACTATCCTCTGATATACCATTGAAAGCCGATGCCAATATTTTGACAAATCTACATCTTCAAATGTGCATCATGGCTTTTCAAATGACTTGATTAGACAACTAGACTCTGTCACTGGTCTAGCCTCACAAAAAGCCTCAAAATTAAAAATGCACATGATAGCAGGAAGTGGAATACTTATGGAAAGGTATATTTACTCAAAAATATTTGTAAATTGCTTGTTTTGATCAAAAAACCTTATTTTTCACGTAAAGGCTAGAGTACCGACAATTGTCGGTACTCTAGACTCTGATGTGGTGGCACGCTAGAGGACCGACAAATAAATTGTCGGTACGGGAGATATGCTGTGTTTACACGCTAGAGGACCGACAAATATTGATTTTCGAATTTTCTGGCGCATGCGCAGTGCGCGGGGGGATATTTCAGATATCATACGGATACAGCGGTGGCGGTAGGCATATATTTTTGTGAGTCATCATGACTCAGGTAGTTTCAAAAAAGTGAGTCACAAGAAAAAAAGTTGAGTCAAAGCTATAAGTGTTTTTCTTGAGTAAAAATGCATACAAAATGTAGAAACCACATACAAAATCTATTTTTTGATTTTGTGCATACCTTTTATTGTACTCTTATAGCACATTAACAACTAACAATTAATTAATTAGGCAATTGCAAGAAAAATGTCACTATTAATCATCTGATTATCTGGTCCAGCGAGTCATGGGTGTGAATGGAGTGGGAGAGGAGTTTCTCCCTGTGTGGAGTTACACAAATTGGGGTCAAAGCGTTTCATGTTGAAATTCAACATTTTTGCAATCATTCCAAAGTCTAAAACGGCAATATAAGTCCGACCACAATACTGGGCATCATCCTTTAAATTGAATACGGTAGAATCTTGTAATTATAAAATGAAACCGAAAGTAGATTTGTTTTCATACCTAATTTATCATCATTACCCCCCTTAATGTGCGATTGACTGGATTTTCATGTGCCCATTATCTATCTTCATAGGATCAGCTTCAGATCTAGTGAATCGAAGATCTTAACTTGAGGGAGTTAATTGAAAATACTTGGTGAAAACTTACGATAGATCGGTCACTGTGAGCACCATTGATAAACCTACTGCGCATTACATCTGCGCATGCTGATGAAGGGGACGGCTCAAGGAAACTTGCTAACTTAGCGAAGGAATTTTGCGAACTTGCGAAGGAAACTAAAGGTTCGTAAATCTAGCGTGTGAACATTCAAGGAAAGATTTTATGCGGTAATTTAGATAAATATACGATCACTAAAATCCTTAGAAGGGAGTATGAAATTAATAAATTATTGTTCAATGTTATGTTCGTTTTATTGCATTTTTGATACGCCCCCTAGCACACGAGATAAACAAATCGAGGGATCGATCAATGTTTTCAAGTTTATCATTGAATCTGAATCACAGGGCTTTAAAAATTATATGAAATACCGAAATAAGAAAATGATCGGTAGGAAGGAGGCTCGATTGCGCTGAACGAAATGTTAGATTTCCGGAATTAGCAAAATTATAAATTTGATCAATCACGTATTTTCACGTATAGGGATCAATTTAACCAAGTACCAAGCGGGGATTTTGCATGTGAAACAAACGTGCGTCAGAAAGACTCGGTAGACAATGAATATTTGCGTCAGAGTTGCAAAAATGTGAGTAAAAAACGTAAAAAATTGCGTTAACGCCACCTCTGGGATATTTTGGGAACAAGTACAAAACCCGGGGAGGGCATTAGCCCCGGTTACCCGGGGATTACCAAACCCAGTCAAAAAATGGTAGCCCGGGAACAGGGAATGGTAGTAAACGTTGAAAGGCCCAATAAAAAACATGAACAAGTAAGAGGTTAGAGAGCTATTAATGCAGAGTAAACGGCTCTAAACAGACAGGATATTTCTCCTGAGCCGATCAGGCGTAGAAAGGGGCGTTTGCTACCCATTAGATAGAAGAAAATAGCTAGAATGTTTTTTATTTGAAGCCATGGTATGAGGTTCCATATCCATCCGCCAAAAGGTATAACCCCTATATAGTCCATTTAAAAACCTGTGGTATCGTTCTAAATAACCCATAGTTGGCTTCTCTTTCTAGGGTACCTAATATGCCACTATTTGGTGTCAAAATAAAGAGGAGTTCAACTTTCATTTGAATTACGAAAATAGCGATGTAGGTCAAAATAGTTCCGAACGTGAGCATGTTTACTACGCGTTTGCCCGTCATATCAGAATTGAGGAAGTGGTAGCAGACGCGAGTTACAATAAACGGACGCTGATATCTCAAAAAGTAACCTGACTCCCTATAATTTGATGTAGGTCAATCGAAACCCTATATGGACAGGTGCATTTTGATATATAACACTATGGGGGGTAAGCGTTTCATAGTTGGTCACGAACGCCATATGTGCAAAGTATTGTTATGAATTTTCGAATTTGGTGTTGGATTATGGTACTCATACCTTATACCACAATTTTTGATGGAAGTTGCATTTGGCTCCCTTAATGGCCACGATTCCATCTCGCATGAGAGAGCTTCCAAACGCAAAGTAAACAGTGATATATTCCAAATGAGATATTTCTCCTGTGCCATGCCATGGCGTAGTAAGGGTAGAGAGCGACGGGGGCGAAAGCATCCCCTCCCCTAACTGTATATATTGACCCATAAGATAGAACAAGAAAAGAGCTTTAAAATGTTTTTTAATTGAAGCTTGTAGGACAATTTTGATGGAAGTTGAATCAGTTTTTGTCGAAATAAATCATGGCTCACTACAAGTTAATGCCTGTACGATTCCATACTGCAAAAGAAGCACTATGCCCCCCCCCTCAAAAGAAAAAAGTAGGTCTTGCCAGGATTCGAACTCGGGACAAAGTGTGTTCGAGTCGCGCTCGCTAACCACTAGGCTACCAGTGCTGAGGTCATTTCTAAAAGTAAAAGTAGTGAATTTATTTATAAAATTGTCGGCTCTCTAGCAAAAACACGTAGCAGCCACTTGCGTACCGACAATTGTCGGTTCTCTATCTGGCACTACTAGTTGACGATAGAGTGCCGACAATTGTTGGTACCCCAGCAAATACCCCTGGACAGTCTCCAGTACCGACATTTGTCGGTCCTGGAGCCACTCCGTATTTTTCACTCACCGAATCCCAACATATCAGGTCGTTCGTTGAAGGATCTTCCACCAGCTTCCAGAGCTTTGTGAGGAAGGCCGGTACTTGTGAACCTCCTTGTTCATTGTTAGAATACATATTGTACACGCAAAGTCCAAATATGCGTCATAAATCACAGAATTTTGAAATGTTTCAGCAAAAATGAAAATAATGGCTGGTTCATCAGTACGCATGCGCAAAGCACATGCCACGAGGTATCTCACCACCAAATCCTAATGAGTAATGTCAATCTGCGAGTCAAACTCCCGTGCAGTGATTTACATCACTGCGGCGGGCAGGTATCTCACCGTAAGCATGGCAACTTAGTTATAAACAACTGACGTGATTGGTTCTAGTCCCATGCTCAGGTCGCATGATTGTAAAATTTAGACAATTTCATTGGTTGAATTGCGCGTATTAACTAGTAACTAATAAAGAACACGTGCAGTAAACTATTATCAACACAACTTTTACTCCACGGTGATTTCTTCTCATATTTCAATAATTTTGAAATATTTTGATAAAATAATGATTGTGGAACATACACGAATACATATTTTATAAGTTGTGTGAAAATTGACCACATATATGATGAAAAGGGGAACTATTTTCACCAAATTTTGGCGATTTTCTTCATCTGCCCGACGCAGTGTCTATACCAAGACACTGCATGGGAGTCCATCTGCGAGTAACAATCTACAACTGATTCGGTTCACTTTCAGAGGAGATTTCAGGCATGCGCAAAATGAAAGGTGTTTACCAAAATACCTTTCTATCGAAGTATTCTTCCATCATAGTTCAGTGATCGTCATCAGTACTGTGATAAAATTATTTTAGTATAATTTAGGATCATCCTAACATGAACATTCATAATCCCAGGTACATGTAGTTAATTAAGATCTAGCAGGCCCGTAGCAGGGATTTTCCAAAGGGACGGGGGGGGGGTACTTTTGAAAAATTCCAAGGGGGTTCACTTATGACAGCTTTGACCCAAAAATGGCCAAAATCACTTGAAAAGTGTCAGGATTGTGAAAAAATCCTCGACCCCCCTGGCTACGGGCATGCCTAACATAGTCCTTACAATTTTGAACTAGATCTATTCATCTAAAGTCAATACTGGTCATGTTGTATGTTGAATATTAAATGATGATGGACCGCGGCGGCAAATATAGAGAAATTAAATGTATTCTTGGCCGAAACATATATAAATGAAAAACATTGCTTTATAAACCCCATGTAAATCTGTAAATCGCTTAAATTACATTTGTATGATGAAAGACTCAACATCCAACAGGAAACTAGAATGAAGCAAATTATTTAGTATGAGAATAACATGACCTTCTGATATTCTAAGGTAACTCGCTTGAAAATGATGGCGGTGACTGATTTAACTATATATGGCTTGCAGGTCAAATTCCCCCTGGTAGCATCAAAATTGGTCTCATATATGTCATACATTTAATATTTGAAAGACAACTTTTATTCCAACTTATGACATAAGTAATGTGTTACTTTATCACCTTGAATAAGTCACCTTGGAATATCAGAACGTCATGCTATTCTCATACTTTTACAAATTAATGCGATTGTAATTCACCACAGTAAAAATAATTTAATACATTGGTGACAAAATGTTTTTAGTTTCCGATGTTGAGTCTTTCATCATACGAGTGTAATTTTAGGCAATCTGTCTGCATGGGGTGTTTATACTAGAGTGGCAAAAGGGCCCAACCAGAGACATATAAAACATGTTTATATGTCTCTGGCACAACTGAGAATATAATATCTACTGGGTAAATTCTATTGTGGTTTTTGTCCTTTGACCATTCAACCAGTTGAATGCCCATTGCCCATGACGCTGTTTACAAATTGGATACCATTGCAGAATCAACAAAAGGTTTGTGAAAAAATTAGGATAAAGTTTCAAAATTATGCACAGGACAATATATAACTACTAAATGCAGGCAGGGACTTTCAATTGCCAAAAAGTTGAGTATCAAAATGGATTGTTATCTACCTAAGTGTTTTAAGTACTACAACTGAATTTTTGTTAATGAATTACCGTAGCGATACCACAATCCTCTACGGAAGTAACTTTTGTTTCCGGTTTAGAAAATGAAAATAAAAATATTAACTTTTTCTACAAATATCATTATAGGAGCATTACTAAGCAATGAATGAGAAAGATTTCAGTCCGTTGACCCCATCATGTGTCCGTTCTCTGAACGACAAACTCTATGAGAAACGAAAGGTTGCAGCGCTGGAGATTGAACGGTGAGTAAATTTTCGTAGAATATTATTTCAAGAGAACTTGAACCGAACTCCCATGCAGTGTCTCGGTATATACACTGCGGCGGGCAGATGAAGAAAATCCCCAAAATTTCATCATCATCATCATAGTACACGATTCAATCATTTACTGATTACTACATCGCGGGTTAGTATGCATAGTAAAAGATAAAAACAGTGTTAGAGTAAAAGGTAAAGTTAAAATCGGTTTAAAAACAGTTAGGCAGTAAGAGTTAAGGAATGGGGTTTTGGTAGTAAGAACCCAGCGTGGTTTTAAAGCCTTCTAATGTTCCCGCTGTCACTATTGATTCTGGAAGTGAGTTCCATTCCCTGATTGTATTTGGGAAGAAAGACTGCAAAGTGACATCTTTGTTGTATCTGTGGCGGACAAAGGCTTGGCTGTTAGTTACTTGTAATCGTCTGGGTCTATTGTGGGAGGGGGGTTCAAGTTATTGGTCCTTGGAAATTCCAACTAGACTATTGTTGATTTTATAGAGCATGGTGAGCCGTTGTTGTTGTCTTCTCTGCTCCAGAGACTCCCATTGTAGCTTGGACAGCATAGCACCGACAGAGCTAACACGGTTGAAGTCATTCATGACATACCGTGCTGCTCTTCGCTGGGTCATCTCCAGAGCTTGTTTTTGGGTTGATGTGTAAGGGTCCCAGACACAGCCTGCATATTCAAACCTTGGTCTAATCAGGGTGAAATATGCAGTCTGCTTAGTATGTTGAGGAGCTTTCCATAAATGACGTCTCAGCATGCCAAGGAGCTGGTTACTCTTGGTTATGGATTTAGCAATATGCTGGTTCCACTTAAGGTCTGCCTGCACTGTAACACCAAGATATTCTGCAGACGATACCTGTTTAAGGGCATGTCCCTGCATGTTGTAGATGGAGACAGCAGGTGTTCGTCTTCCAGTTGCCGACAGCACAGTGCACTTGTCTGGGTGGAATTGCATCAGCCATTGATTTTCCCAGGCTACTGCAGCATTAAGGTCTTCTTGTAGTAATGCTGCATCGAGTGGTGAATCAACTTGTCTGTAAATGATGCTGTCATCTGCAAAAAGCCTCAAGGTACTATGTTGCAGGACATCAGGTAAGTCGTTAATGTAAATGAGGAAGAGGATCGGACCGAGGACAGTCCCCTGGGGGACTCCTGATGTTACAGCTGCCTCATCCGATGTCACTCCATCTACACTAACTCTTTGGGTTCTTGCTTGCAGGAAGTCTTTGATCCAGTAGTTGGCCTGACCTCTGATACCGTAGTATTGGAGTTTGTAAAGTAGGTGGCGATGTGATACTTTGTCAAATGCCTTTGCAAAGTCCATCACTATGACATCAGTCTGGTGATTAGTGTCATTCGCCAGTACAAGGTCATGGAAAAAGGTGACAAGTTGTGTTTCACATGACCTCTTACTCCTGAAATTTGGCGAAAATAGTTCCCCTTTTCATCATATATGTGGTCAATTTTCACACAACTTATAAAATATGTATTCATGAATGTTCCCCAAACATTATTTTGTCAAAATATTTCAAAATGATTGAAACATGAGAAGAAATCACCGCGGAAGGAAATCTGCGTAAATGTTGTGTTGATAATAGTTTACCCGACGTGTTGTTTATTAGTTAATACGCGCAATTCAACCAATGAAATTGTCTAACTTTTACAATCACGCAACCTGAGCATGGGACTAGAACCAATTACGTCAGTTGTTTATTACGAAGTTACCATGCTTACGGTGAGATACCTGCCCGCCGCAGTGATATATCACTGCACGGGAGTTCAAACTTGAACTTGAAGTTGAAAATACAAATCTCAGAATTTTTAATCTTTAATTTTTAATGTTGCACAGTATGTAAATTTAACACAAATTCTTTTAACCCGGACATTGTACATCTACATGCCGTTTCAATGCATTGCATGGCATGGTACTCAAATAGTCTAACAACATTAGACCATACATCTGTAGGAGACAGGTTACCTGAAGATATTATATCTCTTCTCAAAACAAGGAGAGGTAATTGCCTACCCTGGCTGAAATCAGCTCTGAAATGACAATAACTGCATGTCCAGCCTTCATTCAAGGCTGATTTTGTACGTAGAAAACCGATCTGTCGATCCTTCTACATGGGAGTTTTTACCCTAAATATACATGCTCGAGTATAAATCCATCAGATTCCACCCTCAAGAATGTCCATTTCAACTGTACATCAACTGTGTGAGGAAATAAAACAAATCTGTACTTCACCTGCAATTCACTTATTACATTTTTACATCAACAAGTACATTTGTTGAGAAATTATATTATATCGTAGTGTTAGTAAATCTACTTACGATTCAAGTAGTATTTCGTAAAATTACTGCTTTCAAATTTTATAAATTTTTGCCGGAAACATTTGCCAAGGTGCTACTAAGGACTGAATGAATTCTGGTAATTTGATTGGCTTAAACAAAATAGATCCAGGGGAAGGAAATTCCCGATAGAAAAGTAGAACATTGTTTAAGCTGATCAAAACAATGTTCTACTTTTCTATCGTGTCTCCCGGGATTTATTGTCTCCAACTTGACTCATAAGTGGTGTAGAATCGAGAAATAAAAATGTCTTACCGAAAACAAAGCCCGTAAGTTCTTCCATCTTGTTACGCTGATGATCGTCAACGTAACTAGGTGAGTACCAGTGATAATAATATTGTGTTAAATCGCTTGGTGTTATGTGTTTTTATATTATTGTCAAGTATCAGTTGCATGTTATCGCGGAAAAATGATTTTGATGGATCCATAACTTGCAATAAAGGAAAGAATAGTAAGGTGGTTAAACCCAATAACGGGCAAGAAAATTCCTAATAGTAAAGAACGCCATTATTGGGTTTAACGACATTGAACTAGGTACTCAAACTGCATCATCCCCCTGAAGGTATCCCCATAAATGTGAGGTTGATTTTTCAAATCACCCCCACAACTAGGCCTACTTGTGTATTGAAACCTTGGGTTGAAACTATTAAAGATGGATTAGTGGTTATTTGGATAAAATTCATCTTTGAGTCAACTTCTGACAAAGTTTTTCAACCCCATGAATGCAATACACAGGTAGATCTAATATACTAGGTGCGAGTAGAATAGAGTAGAATCTTTATTTACGTCATTAAATATTCAAAATTCAGTCAAAGTGATGTCATATTTGAAATCTGCATGTAAAAGTACATCTAAAAATACGGTTTCGAAAATTGTTTATCAACTTTGAAAATCTGATTTTTTTTGAAAATGTGACTTCTTGTTCGGGTTGATTTCCCATAGACCCCATGATACAAAATCACAAAAAGTGAAATATCTTTTCTTGTATTGGATAGATAACATTTTCTTTTACTGGACATATTTCAGTTTGCATAACTATTAGATACATAAGGGTTATATGAAAATTGAATCATTAAAACAGATGTGATTTAAGTTTAAGGGAACTTTCTCCTATACCCGCCATGCTATCTGACCCGAACGAGCCACCTGGTGGTGAATCTGGTAACTACCTACTCGCATCTGTGTTATTGTGGGCGTGATTTGAAAAATCAACCGCACATTAAGGGGTGTACCCTGAAGGACACTTCGTCGTTGCTGAATATATACATTTCCGCATCCCACTTCTGACACCAATGTAATGACCCAAAGGCTGCTGTTGTGTGACAAACCAGATACAGACATGAAAGAGAATGTGCTAGACCCAATGATCCTTGCGGGAATCACACCCAGGACCTTGTAGTTCAAAGTCAGATGCCCTACTGCTAAGCCATACAGACTTAAGGCCCCACAACTGAGCTGTAATAGTAACTTGCTATCCAGGGTTGTTACAGTACATTTTATACCACTTTTTCAAATGCTATATTGTCGTCGTCTTGCTTTCAGTTTATGTGACCAATCAAAATTCAGTATAATTAAATCTTGTTGGGAATTTTTTGTTTCAGCATGGTAAAAGAATATGTTTCACTGAACAATACTGTAAAGATCAAACAGCTTCTGAGAGTCCTAGGAAAAGATTTTGCATCATCTCACAGCCCTCATAGTCGTAAAGGTGGACTCATTGGCCTAGCTGCATGTGCTATAGCACTTGGAAAGGTATATTAATGTAAATATAAAAGTAAAAATAATTCAAAGGCTGTTTATATGGTCATTAACCTTCCACATTCCTAGTTATTATCGACAAGGCTTGTTCAAAAAGTTTTGCACAAATATATCTAATTATGAAAATAATGAACCAATCTTGTTCATATTTGGTAAGTTAATGCCCCCATCTTATTCCCTTACATTCATGTATGTATGATTATTACTTAACATAACAGAAAACAAGTATATATGGAGTGAGAATTTTTACAGAGGGGGCAGTTGCTTTTGTAGTATAGAAAGAGTGAGAAATAAGGGGGAAAGCCTATTAACATGAATGTTTTTCTCTTAAAAATGTGCATCTATTTGCATGAGTGTTAAAAAGTGTAGCTGTATATTTTATATGTTTTAATATTTTTTCTATACACATACATATTCTGAAAAAATATGAAAATGTCTGATGATCTTCATTTTACAGGAATGCACATCATACATACATGAGCTGGTGGAGCCAGTGTTAGCATGTTTTAATGATCAGGATAGTAGAGTGCGCTACTATGCCTGCGAGTCTCTGTACAACATCGTCAAGGTGACAAGAGGGGCTGTACTACCTTTCTTCAATAGTGTATTTGATGGACTGAGCAGGGTAGGTTCATTTGAGCTAACATATAATTGAAAAAGTTTGGTTAGAGATTAGATATTTTTAGTCTTACCTCAAGACTGTCTTGAGTTGGGAAGGTGAGGTACACAGGGGGGGAGGGATACAGTCTCGGTTGACCTTATGGAAGCTGTTCTAAATTTTTCTATGTTGTAGCTGGAAGTCCTTTTTATTTCTTTATCAGATGGACGTGTCAGAACAAAAATGATTTCAACACAATAAAATGAGTGATATTATATGAAAGGAAAGAATGCATTGACCTACATTATTTTGTAATCGATGACTTACAAGTTTATACTATGGTTATACATGTACTTATCCAAATGAGAAAGTGTGGAACCCTACATGGATTTTATCTTCATAGCCTTCTATATTTCAAATAACTGTTGTAACAAGAGTTTCTCTTCATATTTCTAGTTGGCTGCAGACCCAGATGCGAATGTACGGAATGGTTCTGAGCTACTTGACAGACTCATGAAGGTACAAATGAAACATAAAACAAAGAGAGCAAGGAATCACAAAGAATCACAAGGAATAGATAGCACTAAAATTTAATTGAATGTGAATATTTTCCTGGCAATCTTTCATTTTATTATCTGAAAAAAGAATATTAGATGTCTGATCAAATGAAGAAGTTGTTGGATTAAAATGCAGAATTGTCCAAATTCAACGGAATTGAATAGAATTGAGGATTTCCCCATTTTCATGTTTTACCAAATACCCTTGAACTTTGAATGATTTTCTTGAAAGAGAGCTAGAACTGTTGAAAATAAGCATGCAATGTTGAGAACAAAAATAATTGTTGTTAAATTGTGATACTTACTCAAAACTCTTCTCTACCCCTTCGAGACCCTTTAATGTATTGATTTGACATGTTGTCAGTCCCTACTTTTCTTGATATGATTATTGTAAATGAAAATATATCTCAATTCTGTAAACTGACTGTCGAGATCTATAATTGTTAGTTAGTCTAGGAAAATATAAAGGACTTACTCAAACAATATCTCATCATATTGAACAATATATCATCATATTCTGTCACCTCATATTCTGTCACCTTTTCACCCCTGTCACATTTTCCTGATTTGTTCTACATGTCTCTACATATCTGGGCTTTCACCAGAATAATCTTAAACTCTGAACCATAGCTTAACATCCTCTCAGAGTTCACTCTTCTTAGATCTGCATCGATTGAATACTTCAGATTAATTTTCAAGATTCAAAAAAAGTTACTCCAGAGAAAGTTTGGAATTTTAGGGAGGAACTACATGTAATGTACTTTACAAGTAATTCATGTACATATGTATATCAGTTTTATGTTCTTACAGGACATTGTTACTGAGAGTTCTTCATTTGACCTGGTAGCCTTCATGCCCTTGCTGAGGGACAGAATATACACAAAGAACCCATTCGCCAGGCAGTTTATGGTATCATGGGTAAGTCAACACCAGACATTATGGCCAACTAATTCAGTATTCTTTATATTACATGTGTTTTGATTAGTATGCATACTTATGCTTTAACAAACTTAATGTGTTTATAAAATATGAAAAAAACAGAAAACTTAAAACTTAAAGAGTATTTTTGCATATACATGTACTGATTGATTGAAGAATAGTAAGGGTGGTCCAAAAAAGTGAACCCTTGCAACAAGCTATATCTCAGTTATTACTGGCATTCATGGGCCAATATTCTCACATGTTTTAGAGGGAGGTCTAAAGTTTTTGTGGGTACCATAAAGGCCACTCAGTCTTAAGTCTTGCAAAATGCACATTGCATCAACAGACATGCCTGATAAATGGGTGATGCACTCAATCCATGCTCCACAGTTCTGGGTAACTGCTGATCGACTTGGAATCGGGAACGTTTTTCCATGCACATGGAATCCTTGCTAAATATCCCTGTTGAAATGGTTGACAATAGTGTGGATCCATGTGGAAATAATGTGGATTGCATGTGGAATCTACATTGATTGTCACACATATCTAAGGGGATGCCATGTGGATTGTATTGAAGGTGTAGAACAATTTTTCTTTCTTTGAAATAAAAGAAATGCTTTAGAATAACAAAACACCCCTAGATATGTTGAAACGAGCAGTGAACAATTTCAACATTTGCATTGTAGCAGTTATCCAGAACTGTAAAGCATTGATTGAGCACACCATCCATAATCAGGCGTGTCTGTTGATGCCATGTAACTTCTGCAAGACTTAAGACTAAGTGACCTTGATGATCCCCCAAAAACTTTAGGCTTTCCTCTAAAACATGTGAGAATATCAGTAATAGCTGAGATATATCTTGTTGCAAGGGTTCCCTTTTTTGGACCACCCTGTATATTTTACATTAGCTGGTTGTGTGTATGTAAACTTTCATTTCAGATTCAAGTGCTGGATGCAGGACCTGATATTGACATGATTGTTTTCCTACCTGAACTCTTAGATGGCCTCTTCAATATACTGGGTGACCCAACTTCAGAGATACGCAAAATGTAAGTTTTTTATTATATCTTTATGAGGCAATGAAAACAACATGTAGTATAACTGAAATTATTGCAAGTGGTACTGTAGAAGAAATTTTTAGAAAGAACAATTACAATGAAAAAGAGCCAACATCATTAATGAATTTTAGCGTTTGGAAGAGAACATAATTTTAATTTAAATCTCCGCTATAATTACTTATTTTAAAGTATTTAATAAAAACAAGTTTGCCGAATTAATAACTCTTTTCTTTGGAGTTTGGGAGATCAACACATCTCAAATTGTTTTTTTTGTAAAAAAATGTCTTAAACCTTTTTAGGCATTAATCTTATTCAAAATTTAGTCAAGGTGATGTCATATTTGAAATCTACATGCAAAAGTGGTTCTAAAAATATAGTTTCGAAAATTGTTGATCAACTTCGAAAATCTAACTTTTTTGAAAATATAATTTTAGTTCAGGGAGATTCTCCATAGACCCCATGTTATAAAATCACAAAAAGCGAAATATTTTTTCTTGTTTTGGACATACTCGTATAACATTGTCTTTTACTGGACATATTTTTATTTGCATAACCATTAGATACATAAGGTTGATATGAAAATTGAACCACCAAAACTGATGAATAATTTAGTTAAAGGGAACTTTCTACTATACCCGCCATGCTATCTGACCCGAATGAGCCACCTGGTGGTGAAACTAGTAACTACCTACTCGCATCTGAGTTTTTGTATTGATATCCAATTGTCTCCAACCTTATTTTTATAGTATAGCAAATACCAAATCATTTGAATGCTAAATCAATAGATACACATTTTTCATGTAATGATAAAAAAGAAACTGTTTTAGTATAATCCCATATATATTCAATGCTTTATTGTACTAAAAATCCCTTTCGGGTGAGTGTACAGCAAATAAACATGATAAAATAAAACTAAAACTATACATACAATTACAATAACATACAATGCAAATTTTACATGGCATATAATGACAATATAATGTGATTGACTGATCATTAGATATACCAACAACTACTATTAGCCTACACCTACATGTATATATTTATATTGATAATATAGTTGTTGATCTCTTTTCAATTATTTCATAAAGGTATTTTGCAAAGGTGATACACATGTTACCCTCAGCATTAAACATATAATTAGCCTTTTCTTCGGTAGTCAATACAGTTAGATTTGGGCAAATCGAGTTAAACGTATCAAAGTATTCATATCTCATTTTTTCCAATTTTTGGCACTCAAAAATAAAATGAATTTCCGTACCAGTGGTGATTTTACATAATTTGCATTTTCTTTGATCTCTCGGAACTATTGGTCTTGTATACCTTCCTCGCTCTATTTCTAAATTGTGTGCACTTATTCTTAATCGCGTCATAGATTTCCTATGTTCGGCGTTCTTTATTAAATTCAAATATGGTTCTTTTCCCCATCATTGTTTGATATTATTCAAAAATTCTAATTTCCCTTTATTATCATTGACAGTTTTTTCCCAATATTTTATATATCTTTTTTCAAGGATTTTCTTAATATCAAGCGGTTTACTTTTAATGTAATTTTTATCTTGTGGTTGAACATATGCCATTGTTTTATCAATGTCATAGTACCATGATGGTTGATTATGAACTTTTGATAGTTCAATACTATCTGCATATGCATTAATTAGTAATGAACTCGTTCCTTCATTTTCTATATGATCTAAGTATTTAACTTGTTGGTAAAATATATTGATAAACAGAGGGAATCTACCTAACTCACCCATCGTAGCTAAATTACTCGTTTTTCTATGCACCCCTAATAGAAACTTCAAAAAAGATAGATGTAGTAATTCCGGTGGAAGTGACTTGTCATATTTCATTTCAAGGCCAAAATCTTTATTTTTCAGAAGATCTTTATTAGTTATTAGACCAGCACCCCAGATTTCACATCCATATAATAAAATTGGTTTTACTAATATGTCATAAGAATCCACCGGTAGTCCGTGTCTGATTCATTTGGACTAGGAGGGAGAAGGATATCTGGATTTAAAATATCTTATCATCACCATTAATATATACAGTATCTCAGATATTCCTCTAGTGATGTAGAAATAATAGTTTAGTTAGTTAGCCTTTTAAATAACTTGTGACTCATGTGATCATAAATGAAACAATATATAAATAAGATTTATGATATGTATAATTTTGTTTGTCTCATGAAAAAAAGACTGACTACTAGTAATATTTGTTTGCAGTATGAAATTACAGGAATTATGAGTTTATAGATGTCACCTTAGTCTTTCACATTGTGCCCTTTACATTCGTTCAACTTTGCTTCTTAAAAGAGAGCTTCGTCTTCACTCAGTTTACAATGAATCTTCGAACTCACAGAGCCATTCAGAGTTCGTCGTCGAAATACTGACAACTACCCATATATGGCATTTCCTCTGACATCATCGCAGAGTAAATGAGCATGTATTTAGCATCTGTTCCTTACAGCTTGCTGATTGATTGAGAAAAGATCAGCGTGGTAGGTTTGAAATGACTTATGAGCTGAGCTGTCACAGGCATAGGTCATGGGGGCAGGACTACTAAACTGTAATATACATGTAGTCTATATGAGGCAGAGGGTAGTTTATAACTTAGCACTCTGTGTGCTCGGTATCCACATTATAACGAGCATAGCCTACTTATTAGCTTGAAGTTTAAAACAATCAATATAACTTACTGCTACATGTATGATATTGGACAATAAACAAACAATTACACAGTATCATGTTGATTAAAGTTTCCATCTACATTCTATTTGATACATGATCATCATAGCGATTTTAATGGATAAGAAATCTAATGCTTTGAATAGTGCAAGTTGAACATTCTCGTGGATAAGAAAGCCTCGACTTAAGTGGGCTAAGTTGAGCAGCAATGGCCTCACCATAATGTTACTGAAAAACAATGAATTAAGAGTTCTTATTTAAGGAATAAAGACCGAGATTCTATGATTTATGGCGCAATATATGGCCGAAAATTGTATTCTGTTCATTGTTAAAAGACCGAAATTGCGTAGCAATTGAGGTCTTTGGAAATGGACAGAATAAAATTTGAGGTCATATATTTGCCATAAATCATAGAATCGAGGTCTTTTTTACCAGTCTAACATGACAAAACCTAAGTTTCTTCCAATTTGATTATTTTCAATATGAAAAATTCTAATGTTTTGGACACTCTATTTACCAGATTTCCTCCTAGCTAAATAGTTAGCAAAAATATCAATAATGAAACTGACGTCCCATATTGACATCTGTCATGTCTATATTGTGACTAAATTGGTTCAGAGGGGGTGAGTATGCAATTGTAAGAGTCATTACATTTTTTGGTCTATATTGAAATTTACAGGTCAAACATACCCTAATATAGACCAATAAATCAATTGTTCTCGTCATTGTGACATCACATATCATGTTAGAATTTACATTATATTAAAGACTAAAAATGATAATCTTATAGCATTATTTCCCCCTTTAACTCAAATTTGCCTTGCTTGCCAATTTATATTTGATTCCCTTTTTGGCTCTTTCTAGATCCTAAGACTACAGTTATGGTCATTGTAAAATTCACTATATTCAACCAGGCCAGGGTTAAATAGGACATAGAAATTGTGCATATCAAGATTGGGTGTCATTGTGTAGATTTATAATTTCAGGACCATATTCTTCACTGTTATCCTTTACATCGTGGGGACAATTTGAAGTCAATACCTTTGGACTACCTTCTCTTACGCTTATAGTCTATAAGGTTCAAGGATGTTTTTATTGTGAAGGAAAACATTTACTTTGCCTTATCTATTGATTATGTCTCATGTGGAACATTTTGTATTCTCTCTAGCGTCATTATAAAAATATCATATTGATTGGTTAATTGCTTACTGCTACAGCTATACGAGTAATTGTTACCATCGCATTAATGATTATTTGCTTGAATTACGGCTTGGGCATTTGATGTCACTTGAGAGCCTTTCACAACCTATTGTATATTCATAATAATCAACAAATATGTTTGTACACTAGAATACAGTATATCTGACTCTGTTGGGAACTCATGCGAATGATGGTTCTTTTTGCCTCCAGGCTTTGACAAATTAATTTCAGGAGTTTTACAAAACTTTCTAATTCTCACTGATTCATTCATTATCTCATGGATCTTGTTCGAAATCTGCTACAATATTTTCAGTCACCTGTATCTTGGAACAGTTTTCATTTCATAATTTTTTTTATTTAGATATAGAGGGCTTATGAATATTTCAAATATTTTTGCAAAATTTTCAATGAAAAATCCATGAAGTTATTTGCCAAAAAAAATAAATGTCATCAATTTACTCATGAATTGAGATATGTTAGTGTGTATACATTGGATTATCCCATTCAAATAAAAGCATTTTAAAAACTATAGTAAAATGAAACCAAAGCAATTAGAAAACGTTCAGTAATTGATAGAGATGACGATAATGACATATTGACAAAAACTATTGACGAGTGCCACTTCAGAGCATGGAACAGATTTTTTACCCAATGAACATAATCAAAAGGTATTGAATCAAAAGCTTTTATAAATAACCAATATTTTACACACAGATCCCATTGAAAAAACTACATGTACTACAGTCTAGTGTGTAGCTGCATAAATAATGTAACCAGCCAAGGCAAATGAATGGCGAGTTGTCTCAAATTTTTGGAGCTGTGTATTAAACTGACAGTGACTTTCAAACGATAAATACTATAGCAATGGATAATCCACTTAAAACAATCAACTCCATTGAGTTCGATGTAAACATTACCATGAAGTGAGAAAATAATGGATAGTGTATGTTTCTCAGCAGCATTTCCTTATTAAACCTCTCCAATATATGCACATACAATGTAGATCTGCCTTTGAAGTGACGGAAGAAGTGTTATAGGATAAAAATATTGACTCTACATACATCCTGACACAACTATTTACTGAAACGACTGATTTATTAAGATTCATAACCAATGTTTTCGAGATATGATTCGATTTGGCACTTATAGCGTTGATCCATCAAATAGGGAGATAATTCATCATACAAACATGTCTTAGTTGAGGAACGGTGTGACTTTTTTCCTTTCAGCAGGGATTAACCAGTTTCTGAGGATGCGTAGAAAGAGAAAAATAAGCAATTAGTTAAGCTGTTAATATCCAGCATACCTGAATCTGTTAAGTATATGCATTAATATTTGAGACCTTCATATTCAGTGATCTGCAAACAAACCTTTGCATAAAAACAAAGGTGCATACATTTAATGGTGCATATGGAACAAATATACTTGTATCAGTATATCACCAATGTTAATTATGGTGAATAGGTAATGTCTCTAATTCAAGACAGATGGAGCATTTTCAGGAGAAAAAAGGTGTGTCGAGACTTAAAAAACAATGCATTTTGGTCCATTGTGACCGTCATGTTCGAGATATAGATATGTATAATGCTTTTCTTCCAAATTCAAAAAGAGGCTCAATTTGGATGGCTCATTTGTACCTAAAAACTGCAATGTTGCGGAGGACCTCTAGAGACGTTACATGCCAGGATATCGTAAAATGAAATATTTGCTATGATATATACACTGATGTCTGATATGATTGTATGCATACATGTACACTGATATGTCTAGAAACATACAATGATATGTCTGGATACATACATTGATACATCGGGATAAATATATTGATACATCTGGATACACACACTGATACGTCTGGATACATACACTGATACGTCTGAATACATACACTGATATGACTGGATACATACACTGATATGTCTGAATACATACACTGATATGTTTGGATGCATACAATGATATGTCTGGATACAAACACTGATATGACTGGATACATACACTGATATGTCTGGATACATACACTGATATGACTGGATACATACACTGATATGTCTGGATACATACACTGATATGACTGGATACATACACTGATATGTCTGGATACATACACTGATATGTCTGAATATGTACACTGATATGTCTGGATACATACACTGATATGACTGGATACATACACTGATATATCTGGATACATATACTGATATGTCTGATTAAATACACTGATATGTCTGGATACATACACTGATATGCTCGGATACATACATGTTTGGATACATACACTGATATGTCTGAATGCATACACTGATATGACTGGAAACATACACTGATACATCTGGATACATACACTGATATGTCTGAATATGTACACTGATATGTTTGGATATATACACTTAGATGTCTAGATACATACACTGATATGTTTCGATACATACACTGATATGTCTGAATATGTACACTGATATGTCTGGATACATACATTGATATGACTGGATAAATACACTGATATGTCTGGATACATACACTGATATGTCTGGATACAAACACTGATGTGTCTGGATACACACACTGATATGACTGAATACATACACTGATATGTTTGGATACAAACACTGATATGTCTGAATACAATACATACACTGATATGACTGGATACATACGCTGATATGTCTTAAAACATATGATTTGAAATATGAGAGATATATGAAAAAACGTTATAAGTCTCTGAATATATACCCTAATATCGCTTGATTTAAATTCTGACATCTTTGAATACATGTACGGATAAGCACTAGCAGGAGGGCCTATGCACTGCTATGTCACAATGATCTTCATATAAATGTACGTTACATTTGAAAATCTCCTGAATAGACAATAAATGCAATCAAAATGACTTCAAAATGATATTTTGTTTTTGACATATGAGTTAATTCTAATTTGATAACTCAAGGCTCACGTTAGGCTTTTAGACTGTGGCGCTCCCATCACAATCTATAGGCAAATGATCATTGTTTCCAGTCTAAACTTGACAATAATAGCATTTGAAAGGATAAAATATTACATAAATAAATATATATACCATAAACATTTCCTGGTGAGAGCATTTTAACTCCTAAAACATGATATTTTTAATTATTTTAAAAGGTATCTTTTTAAATGTAATTTTTTCACTCCAGCAGTAATGAGATGTAGTTCCCATTTATAGGTATCGTTCACCATGCAGAAAGATCTATGATCAGTTTTGACATTTAGAGAAAAAGAACCATTATATCAGTATATTGGACCATTGGAGTCTACCTGAAATGTCAAATGTCAATTTACAAATAATTTGTTTTTTGAACATACCAAGGCTTTGAAAAATTACTTAAGTAATCAGCATGACATGTCCAAATTATAGGAAATACAAATCACACAGCTAGGCAAGGTGTGTCTTATTTATTCCAATCCGAACACAGTATTTCATATAACTGAACTGCATTAGATAATCAACAAATCACCCAAGGTCATTTGTTGAATAGTTGTCAAAGTGGCAATTTGACTCTATAGATCGAAATAGATACTTTGCCAACTTGAACCTTGCAAAAAGTTCTATTGAAAATATGTTCTTTTAGTTATTTCATATCTTTTAGTTGATTTTATAGAAACGATTTTGCAGAGTGTGAAAAGAATTGAAGCCCAAGACTCGATGCATTGTGGCTGGTTCATCAAGGGCGTATTTAATACCTGGGGCTTAGTTGTGTACCAAACGAAACGAGAAACGGGACAACATCCGGGGCTTTGTTTGGTCTTCATTAGACAATGGTGTATCATTTATTGGCTAATTTAAATCGGATGCGGCAAAAAACCGAACGGTAAAAAACCGAACCAATTTGCGAACGTTCCGGGTATTACGTTCGCCCTTAGTTCATTCCAGTCAGGCATTGTTTCCTAAACATAGCACTCAATTCTTCAAATCTTGTGCAAAGTTTGAGTCAACACCTTTAAGGAATGATAATCAGTCCAAAATGCAGTGAGCCCAGGGCTTAAATCCTTAACTCATTTATTAAACATTTAGTTAGAGGGCTGTATGCCCAGCTGATGATGGTGCAGGGTGATTTCAATTTAAATATCTCTCTTATTACAGGTGTGAGGCTTGTCTAGGGGAATTCTTGAAGGGAATCACAAAGAAACGCAAAAAGGCAAACTTCCCAGCAATGACTAACATCCTCATAGTTCACAGCCAATCTACAGGTTTGTCACATTTCTATTGCTTTTAGGAGCTTTGGATTATTATGTGTTATACCTATATTACCCTTTCATGACAATTCTTTCTTAATTTGTTTACCTTGACTTTCAAGGAGTACAAAGGGCAAATCTGTAAAGCACAAATAAAGCAAAAACATGGATTGGTTTATCTTCAAACAAAATTTATTTTTCTGATTTATTTTTTATTGTGCTGATGTGCATTTCTTATATGTGAAAGATTGCAAGCAAGCAGGTAAGGTATTGATTGACTCAGAATTACTTCTGCAGTGATTAAGTTAAGTAATTAAAATTCATCTTAAGTAATGAGACACCAATTGTATATCAGTGGTAGAGCGATCATTCGGAAAATGATTAAAACTCATCTTAAGTAATTAGACACCAATTGTATATCAGTGGTAGAGCAATCATCCGGAAAGTGATTAAAACTCATCTAAAGTAATGAGACACCAATTGTATATCAGTGGTAGAGCGATCATCCGGAAAATGATTAAAACTCATCTTAAGTAATTAGACACCAATTGTATATCAGTGGTAGAGCAATCATCCGGAAAGCGACGGGTCATTGGTTCAGTCCCCGCATGGGTGAACTGACTTTTTCACATCAGCCCTTAGCACAGGATTTAATGTGTTCACTAACCTTTCTTTTAAGAGGAGTTTTGATGACAGCTAATGTATAATGCTTATGTACCAAATTATTTGGACTACTTGAAATATCCTTGTGCCAGCTTTGATAATTATTGCTATACATGTATTCATTGTTCAACACAGTATCCACACGTATATAAGGAAATATGTTTCCACCATCAAAACTCAATATAAATATTTAACATGAATCAGTGTTACATTCTACCACCTCCACCTGAAACTTGTTACCACTTTCATCTTTATCTGTGTACCCTGGACAAACTGGTACAGAAAGACATGATCGAACTCTTCGCTTTGTTCCACCCCCACATGATTCAGAACAAGGGGTGAACTCACTGTAAGGTCCCCATGCATCTTCGTTGACAATATCTTCAATCCATCCTATGTAGTTAATGACTTTGGTATAGACGCCTGATCTAAGTCCACATGAGTTAGCAGGTCCCCAGCTTACAATTCCTTGTTGTATCCATTTTTTCTCTTCAGACCTGCACATATAGGGTCCACCAGAATCCCCAAAGCATGCGTCTCTCCCTTCCTTCCCTTTCTCTTCCTGCCCAGAGGCACAAAACATGTTATCAGTTACCCAATTGAGATTTGTATGATCCAGATCGCAATTTTCTTGTAAAGACACATGAGCACGTCTTAAAACCTCAGAACCGTTACGACATTGAGTTGAAGACCAAGAGCATTCAATACTACCCCAACCTATAATAACACATTGACGTTTAGCAGAAATCTCAAACTTGTCATCTTCTTCAGGAAGGATGATTGGTTGGGTGTAATTATTGAATTCAAATGGTGGGTCAACAACAAGTATAGCAATATCATTATCAAAGTGAGCACTAAAGTTTCCATGTTTAACAATCTGGGTTGTAAAATTTGACTTGGGAATGATTCTTGTTTGCTCGAAAGGCTCAGTTTCGGATAAATTATGCTTTGCTGCTTTTATGGTAATATGATCAATGAGCCTCAGATTCCCTTCAGTGACACAATGAGCTGCTGTCAATATATGGGTAGGTGTCAATATGGTGCCTCCACATTGGCATTCCACTAAGCGCACCATCCACCTGTAGTTATATTTGGGATTCACCTCTTTACCCCCTGTTATTATAGCCCCAGCTTCTGTACGCCGAACACCTGGTTCCATTGGTGCTGGTTGTGTTGATGAACACCATTCAGAGTCAATGGTAATTTCATTGCATTCTTTATCTTTGAACGGTGGTCTTGTACATTGTTTGATCCTTGTTTTTCTTTCCCTGCTTGTGTTTGACTCACATGTTGAAAATTTGCTGAATGGCCCTGAAGATATATATCAAAAACAGAGGCTACTTCAATGTATAGGATATCACATGTAACGTCTTCATCAGACAACACTACTAGTAATCATTTTCATACTAGATGTATTGCCAAATGATAATATGTTACATGTATTTTACATATATTTCAATCTAAAGTACCAACATAACAAAATTTTAATCATAGGCCTAACGAAAAACATAAAATGACAGTTACATGTATGAATGTATATGAATGGTCACTATTTTTCAAAATGGTTTCCTATTGAAGCAAATTGTCAGTAGACAGTGTTTTATGCTTTAAAGTACTAACATATAAAATATCCACAAAATTATTTTATTGCTTTTGCAGTTCTTACAAAAAATGTAAACAACATTTATAAATGAAATGTTCTCTCTCTAATTAGATATAAATCACCCATTCAGAATATTATCATTAAAAGATAATTATGCAATAATTTAATGTTGATTTACCTAGTTTACATGGTTTGGTACAATGTCTGCATAATTTTGTATCTGTGCATACCAATTTCCCATCTGGTGCTTTGCATTTACATTTATTACATCCGTCTGCTGCCTTCCATTTTCTCTCTCCTGGCCTTCGTATCTCTCCATTATGATCTGTACAAATGACATTTTTGCAGCACATGCTATAAAGGTTGTTTTTTTCAACAACACATCGATGACCACTTTTACATCGAATGCTCCCACCACCTCTGCATTTTGATGGATAACCTTGGCCATCAAGGGTGACATCAGTACATTGTGGTTGCCTGTTATACTGACAACATTTTCTCTTATTGCAGTAATAAGTGTTAGGACACTCTTGGCCCCTTTTAGTGCATGTTCTATCATTAAGACAGTTTGTCGCCTTGTTTTTATTGGATCCCTTTGATGCAACATTGCAAATCAAACTGAGGAAAAGTAAATATGAAACAATCTTCATGTTGATCTGAAGTCTCTATTGTCTTCTGCTCACATTTAGAAAAATGTTCTCAAAATTTAAAGCCGTTGTTTACATGATACAAAATAGGTGTATCAATGGCAACCCCAATTCAGGCTTTGAAATGTCTGTTTTTGAATTTCAAAGTAAATGATTTGTTCAGGGTCAAAATGATTAAGTATTTGTGTGGTTATTTTATCAACTATTTGTTATTATTGACATTAGAACAATAGCCCAGCCAAACAATAACAATTAGATGTAACACTAATAGCCCCTGATTAATTACCATGGCCTTTAAATCTATCGAGAATGTAATGATATATATGTCATATTGTGATATTATTTACAAAACATACTAATCAAAAATAGAAGTTAATGTGACCTAAATGTGTTACCTTTGGAATAGCATAAGAGGAGTGTTTGACCCAGAATTCAAAGATGAATGTGACCTAATTGCATCCATTACCATTGGAATGGCACAAGAGCTGGGTATTACCCAGAATTCAAATTAGAAGTTAATGTGACATAAATGCATCCATTACCATTGGAATGGCACAAGAAGGGTGTTTGACCCAGAATTCAAATTAGAAGTGAATGTGACCTAAATGCATCCATTACCATTGAAATGGCACAAGAAAAGTTTTTGACCCAGAATTCAAAATATCATTTAAATATCACATTTAAATATATATTTTCACTTAGTAGATCCACTGATTCAGTGAACTGCCCTGACTTGGTTAAAGGAGTTTGTCCAATCTGCCTGGAGAATCATGCTTCAAGGTCCGCATGCAGTATGGCAAGTGATTTTAGATGGTCATATCTTTCACCATGAGTATTTTCTGGGTATAAATACAGTGGTTTTTAGTAAAACAATATGTTTTCTTTAAAGTGACGTCCCCACGCTAGTAAAATATCAATCCCACTCTCTGAATAATGTTTTCATGCAATAAAAATCAGAAAAAGAAGATCCTCTTTTGAGCAAATAAGTTCAACATTTTGAAAAAATAGTTGACATGGGGTCCCTATTTATAATTTTTCGAATTATTCGATTGATACGATTGAAAGAAAGCATATTGTTTCAATAAAAACGACTGTATTTATACCCAGAAAGTGCTCATGGTGAAAGATATGACAGTCTAAAATCACTTGCCATACTGCATGTGGTCCTTTGCTTTGGTTACCATTTAAATATCACAATATAATTTGTTTCTATTTTCACTTTGTAGATCCACTGATTCAGACAACTGCCCTGATTTGGTTGAAGGAGTTTGTCCAGTGTGCCGGGAGAATCATGCTTCCCTTTGCCTCTGGCCTCATTACAGCTGTACTGCCCTGTCTCTCATTTGATGAAGATCACTCAAAAAGTATCCTTTCACAAAAAAAACAGTTAAATGTACTTTCATTCTAAACAGTTGATTTTTCAAGAGCAAAATCACTGTTCCACAGCTGGATGACTCTAACTGCAGTTAGCCTCATTCAAGATGGTTGCCCAAATTCTTTCGTTTTGACAAACCTCCGATTTTATCTAAACTAAGCTGAATCTTGATTCCAAATGTTTCGCCATGTAAACTAAAATAACTATGATTGTAAAAAAACACAAATAAATCCCCAAACAACCGCAATATTAGAGAATTTGAAAGAAAACAGCTTCACTTAGAATGATTTAGTTTAGCTGAAATTGGAGGTTTGTCGAAAACGAAAGAATTTTGACAACCAAAGCTCAAAGATAATGTAAACCTATATAATAAGCATTTCATTATGTTCAGTTTCCATTCGGAGTCTAGGACAGTGCGTCAAATCGTCAAGATAGATGTAGGTGTTTTCAAATATAGTTTTAATCCGATTTATTATCGTACAAACAGAATACGGGACAGAATAGTTGTTATGATCAATTAAAGTTGTATCATGTACTGAATCCTTAATTAATGTCAGAAACTCGTGAAGTTGCGAAAGCTGTAAACAATGGACTTCAGAGATTAATAACAATGGAGGATGACCAGCTGACTACATCACCTAGCAACGATTCATCACATTCCAATAAACATTCCTCTAATAGTTCAATCAATGATAAACCAAATGACGATAGACCAAACAACGATACAATAGAGAACAAAAACACAGTTAGTGTAGATGCAGATAAAGAGGAAACAATGTAAGTGTAGAACACAGTTGTCAATTGACATGTTTTTGTTCAGTAAAAACACAGAGCAAGTGATCTCCCAAACATTTGTAAAACCAAGTAGTCCCTGTTGAGGATCTGAAGATTGTATGCCACCCTGTTGAGAATTTTCTTTTCACCTTGCTGAAAATATTAAATATTGAGGTGAATTTGACCAAAAGAGGTGAAATTAAAACTATGTGTCATGTTGAGACAACACTCTGGGGAGATCACTGAAGCACTACAAGCTATAAAACTTAAGAAATTTAAAATATCTCATTTTTCCAGATTTGATTAGGCTTCCATTTTATGATTTCATACATGTACATGCAGGCCCATAGCTGTTGAGTGAACCCCCTCCTCCCGGCCAGAAAGTCTCACAATCATGCAGTTTTTTTTTACTGTTTTGAGCACTTTTCAAGTAATTTTTGGGCCAAAATTGTCAAATTTGAACCCCCCTTGAAGTTTCTAAAAATTGAGCCTGGGTCTCCCCTTGGCAAAAGCTGGCTTCAGGTCTAGCATGCATAATACACCTTAAGGAGATAATCCTATATGATTTGTTATTTCTAGAAATGGCTTGGATGTCGGTTCAATAGTAGCAGTGCTTATACAGCATCTTTTACATGAGGCAATGAACACCAGAATACAGGCCTTAAGGTGGATCTTCCACTTACATCTTAAAATACCATATAAGGTAAGCATGTCTCCTCTGTAAGGACAACAGTTTTGGAGTTGGTTCATTTGGGTACCAAAAAAGTTGAAGGTCTCCCAAAAAGGTAAAAACAATAGATTCAGAGTAGACATAGCATTTTTATGTCCCTACCACATAGTGTGGGGCCATATTGTCGGCCTAGGCGCGTCCGTCTGTCCGTCCGTCTGTCTGTCTGTCTGTCCGTCTGTCTGTCCGTCTGTCCGTCCGTACGTCCGGCAGTTTTCTCCAAAACCGCTACAGATATCACCTTCAAATTTTCAGGGATAACTTATGAGTGCATACAGATGTGGATGAAAAAAAATTTACTCGATACCTACTTCCTGTCGGCCATTTTGAAGTCAAATGCTAAAATCCTTGTCTGCAAACTTTAAGAAAAACGGCTTCACAGTTGCTTTTAAAACTTAAATATCTTGTTCAGCTCACTTCATTCTAGATCTGATTAGGTTTTGGACCTGTTAGCTCAGTCATGTCAGCCATTTTGAATGTTTTAAGAAAAGTTAGCGCACGATAATACTTTATATCATATTGAATGGTGTCTTTCAGTTTTCATACTTTAACTTTTTAGTAGCTTTATAAATAATTTCAGGTGTACTTTGTTGTAAAAGCTTATGTTATTGTTAACAGTAGTTATATGTGATAATTTTGTAAAAAGATTTCAGCAAAAACTCATAATCTCTTTTTTATTGTTTGCCATTTTGGATTTTTCCGTCCTAAAATCTTGTCTATAAAGTCTTGTCTACGCGTTTTCAGGTGAACCGTTTGGTAGATCAATTTCAAATTTTCAGGGATGATTCTTAGTATGAGAATCTAGATCTGATTAGTTTTTGGGCATTCTGGGTAAATGTCAAGGCAGCCATTTTGGATTTTCCGTCCTACAAATCTTGTCTGTAAAGTCTTGTCTACGCATTTTCAGGTGAACCGTTTGGTAGATCAATTTCAAATTTTCAGGGATGATTCTCAGTATGAAAATCTAGATCTGATTATTTTTACGGCATTCTGGATAAATGTCAAGGCAGCCATTTTGGATTTTCCGTATTAAATCTTGCGCGTAAAGTCTTGTCTACGCGTTTTTAGGTGAACCGTTTGGTAGATCAATTTCAAATTTTCAGGGATGATTCTTAGTATGAAAATCTAGAACTGATTAGTTTTTGGGCATTCTGGGTAAATGTCAAGGCAGCCATTTTGGATTTTCTGTCGTAAAATCTCGTCTGTAAAGTCTTGTCTACACATTTCCAGGTGAACTGTTTGGTAGATCAATTTCAAATTTTCAGGGATGATTCTTAGTATGAAAATCTAGAACAGATTAGTTTTTGGCATTCTGGATAAATGTCAAGGCAGCCATTTTGGATTTTCTGTCCTCAAATCTTGTCTGTAAAGTCTTGTTTACATGTTTTCTGGTTAACTGTGTAAAGGATCAATTTCAAATTTTCAGGGGTGGTTCTTAGTACATGTTTTCTGGTTAACTGTGAGACGGATCAATTTCAAATTTTCAGGGGTAGTTCTTAGTATGAAAATTTAGAACTGACTAATTTTTTGGCATTCTTGGTAAATTTTAAGGTGGCCATTTTGGATTCTCCATCCTCAAATTGTGTCGGTAAAGTCTTGTCTACTCATTTTTAGGATAACCATTTGACAGGATTACCCATAGGTGGGGACATATTGTACACATTTGTGTTCTTGTCTTGAACTTCTTATCATTTTGTCTACGAAATAAATTGAATTGAAAAGAAATCCTGCCTAAACATATGACATCATAAATCTAGCCAACAAACTAATTGTTTGCTTGATTCACCTAAAGTGGTCATAATTTATTGGAAAGGTCTGTTGTTTCAAAGTTAAAACACAACCTATTTTTTCCAGATATTTATACATGTGGACGAGTTGTTCCCACTTCTGTTGAAAACACTGTCAGACCCAGCAGATGAGGTTAGTATCATATACTGCCGGGAGAGGGAGACATACAGTAAAATCTGTCCAATCTGAACACCTCTCAGTCTGGCCAAAAGTGTTTGGATAAGGTAGTGGTGTTATATTGTTATTGTCTCCAATTTTCTTGTGGAGGGTATATCAGAAATTCTGCATCTTGATGCCTTGTATAAACATGTTTATAAATGGGAGATTGATAAATTTGGGACCGAAAAAAAGTGAGAGGGGTTCGGATTAGACATGTGTTTAGATATACAAGTTTAATTGTACATTGCTTCAGATATAAAACATGCAACCTATTTTAAAGTAAAATTAATTGGTTCTGTTTTTTTTTGTAAACACATTTAGTCCCTTTCCATTTTAATACCATGTCTAGTCTAAAAGGGAATGAATATGTATGAAGACTTTTGTACATGAACTGGCTTACCGTCCTTTGTATTAAAAATAATAAAACATTGAAAATCTAGAGATTACATCTTATTACAGGTGGTACTATTAGAGATTACATCTTATTACAGGTGGTACTATTAGAGATTACATCTTATTACAGGTGGTACTATTAGAGATTACATCTTATTACAGGTGGTACTATTAGAGATTACATCTTATTACAGGTGGTACTATTAGAGATTACATCTTATTACAGGTGGTACTATTAGAGATTACATCTTATTACAGGTGGTACTATTAGAGATTACATCTTATTACAGGTGGTACTATTAGAGATTACATCTTATTACAGGTGGTACTATTAGATCTTGAAGTTTTAGCAGAGATATCATCGAGTGAAGCTGGGAAACAATTCTCACCGAAATCACCCGACTCCAAAATTCCAGATTCTATACAAGAGGGCATCAATGCGTCACATTCAATGAACAAATTTTTCACCAGATTCATGGTGGATTTATTGAAATTATTTAGCACAGACAGACAGCTTTTAGAAGATAGGGGCTCTTTTATTATCAGGTATGTTTTAATAAGGTCACATAAAAATATCAGTTCTATTTAAGTTTCATGTTTTTTTGTTCTATCCTAATGCAGTTCAATCAGAGTGCACCTTTCAAATCAAAAACTAAAGTTGCATTGATGAGTTGGTAAGGTTGCATTTTCTAATGCTGCATTTTCATATGTAATTTCTACTCCAGGTTCACTGACTTGACTAAAGATGTGATTGTATGATTTGGTTTTTACATACATGTGTATATTTAACTTTTTTGCTTAGAAAAAATATTCAGTATTGGTAGTTGTTCACTACAGAGAAGGTAATTTATAGAAAAGTCACTAAAGCATGCAGAGGAAAGATGTCCACTAGAGACAGGTGTTCCCTAGAGAGAGGTGTTCATAAGAGAGAGGTGTTCACTAAGACAGGTTTTACTGTATTTCAAAAATGGTCATATTTCAGGCAGCTGTGTCTACAACTGAACTCCGAGGACATCTATAGGTGCATATCGGAAATACTGTTACATGAGGAAGAGGACACAAAGTTTGCATCAAACATGGTCCAGACATTGAGCACAATCCTGCTTACTTCAACGGAATTATTTGAACTTAGAATGCAACTTAAAGAACTTGAAACAAAGGTAATTTTCATATATCTAAACAAATTATTGTGCTGTATTTACAATTGGTTCTTGTTTCTTATACTAAACCTAAACACACCCTCCCTCTTCAGGACCTTAAGCCAATGGGTTCGAGTGAACCCCTCTGATAAAAAAATTCATTCAAAATCATGCAGTTTTTCACCATTATGAGCATTTTTTAAGTGATTTTGGTCATTTTTGGACCAAAGTTGTCAAAAGTGAGCCCACCCTGGAATTTGTTAAATAGTGAACCCCCCTTAACAAATCCTGGCTATGGGCCTACCAACTCATCACTGGTTATGTTAACATTTATTTTTATATTTCAGGAAAGCGTTGACCTATTCATATGTCTATACAAGTCCTGGTGTCACAATCCCGTTGCGACAGTTGGCCTCTGCTTCCTGTGCCAAACATATCAACATGCCAGTCACCTTATGCAGGTTTTGTATCCTTTAACATACAATACATGAGTTCAATAAGTTATAATACGGTGGTCTCTGCTTTTTTTACATTGTCAGCCTTTCAAGCAATTTTCAATGTACATGGCAGTATTTTATAATAAATAGTCACAGAATTGAGATTATATTACTATGTTGTTCCTATTACTAGGGTAACAGCGACTTCTCATTGTACAGTATAATATAATAGTGTACAAAAATATTGCATGAATATTACACTCAGACATTAAAACCAAGTTAAAAAGATGTCACTACAAGCCAACCTATGTAAGATACTGATCTCCATGTTATTTTGAAGCTGGCCTTATTCAACAATTTTAGATCATAGAAATAATATATCTTCAGTTGATAGATTGATACTTTGTTATCTGGCTCTATCTTTGAACATGTCAATTCACCTTAACCTATGTGTCCAGCGGAGATTTAGAAGTTACTGTAGAATTCCTCACTGAGATTGACAAACTTGTGCAGCTAATAGAGTCACCTATATTCACATGTAAGTGGCAGAGCTTTTATTTTGGTAATAACAGCAATAATACATGTGGCTTATAACTCAAATACCGTTGGCCAGTTTTTGTTCATATTTTGTACACATATACTCTATGGGGGTAGAAGTTCTGCTCGAAAGCCAATTTTAGAGTCACCCATATTCACATGTAAGTGGTAGAGCTTTTATTTTGGTAATAAAAGCAATAATACATGTAGCTTATTTGTGCTGGATGTCCATAGATAAATCTTAATTTCTAAGTTCATTAACTGTACTACTACTCATGATACCTAGCCTAGCCTTACTTATGTAATTGTATGTACCAGGTAAATCAATAAGTTCCCGGAAAAAGGCTCTCATTTCTTTAGTTTTCAATAAGATTGGTACAAAAATAGAGAAATTAGAGCCTTTTTCCGGGAACTTATTGATTTACCTGGTATTCATGTTCTGTTACTTTGTTTTATTATGGACAAATGAATTAAAGGACCTTATTAAGGTGGTGATTAAAAACTGCCAAAATTTAAGTTATTTTGGGTAGTGTAGATGATTCTAGTGTTCATTAATATTAACAGATCTGCGTCTCCAACTTCTCCATACAGAGTCTAACCAGTATTTACTTAAGAGTCTCTATGGTCTGCTGATGTTGCTTCCCCAGAGTGATGCATTCAGGACGTTACAACACAGATTACAATGTATACCTCCCGCATCATTCTCACCCACTCCACATTCTAGGTAAGACATTCCAGTACCATGTATGTGGATGTTAACTTGTATGTTGCTGGATTGGCAAGCCATGCATATTCCAATGGTAACCATGTATGTTGATGTTAACTAATGGGATTGGCAAGCCATACTTTAGTATGGGTGTTCCTATCTGAATCAGTGGTGGTCACACTTAGTTGTTTAAGATGGGCCTTAGATAAAAAAAATTATTTCATGTTTTTTTACTATGTCATGTATGTACAAAGTGCACCTATACAACTCATATAAAAACATTTTGCAGGATTTGTATAAAATAGTTTTTATCAACCTTTATCTCTTTTATTGGGTTAGCCAAAGCTAGTAATGATGTACTCCCAATAAAATATTAGCTTTATTATAATAGCTTGGTGGTCATAACAGAAACTTTGTAAAGTTACGAATTTGTAACTCAATTGTTGTAACACTGGATATAATGACGTCACAGTTACAGAACAATTGATTTTATGAATTCTTAACTTTAAGAAGTTTCTGTTAATGGTCCACTGACTAATGATGTATCAGTATATCATTTTATAAACATATCTTGTGTTACAAGGTGCACCTAATTTTCTCAAAAATTTGTTACAAATCTACTTTCAGCTCCAATCAGTTACTGTCACCTTCACCAGAAGATCGGGAAACTTTGAAAGATGTGCCATTTAACGAATTATTGACTCATTTCATGTCAGTGCAAGGAAAACATAGAGCAACTCGACGGAAACCAAGAACATTTGAAAATAATTAAATAGTTTAGACTTCGAATTATTTTATAACTATACATGATAGGTCCTGCATATTGGAAAAGGTACATTATGCATTTAAACTGCATTGAAATCAAAATGTTGCATATGAATAATTTGCATAATATTGATGTTGAATATTACACCAGGGTATAACAACTTAACAAGAAGAAAAAAATTACTGCAGATACACTTAATTTGACGCTACTTAATTTGGCGGATTTGACCTGAAAATTGGCGGATTTTTAATTTGGTGAATTTCTTCAATCCGTCAAATTAAAAACGGTAGCCAAATTAAGTGTATCTACTGAACAGTAATCTGATGTTACCTTTAAAGCTCATATTCTTCGTATTTGATCATATACTGTACTACTTTAAAAGCACATGTCATTTATATGTGATCATGAAAAAGTAAAGTTTCAAGTAATAGTCCATTTGTCATTTTCTGAACGTATGAATAGTTAAAAGTATGATGTTTTTCTGCGTAAATACTATCATTAGGGATTATTGGAGTGATTTAGCTGGGTTGCCAAAAAAATAACTTTTGGGAAAAATTTTGTATCTATTCCCATGGTAACATACTAGGTATATGGTGGTATCCCAACGCTAAGTCAATAGTCAACAAGCTGTTAAGCGATTGCACCCTTCCTTAATCAGCCTATATAATTTTTTCCCCAAACAAACTTTTTTGGCAACCCAGTTAAATCACTTCAGAAAACCCTTATTATCATAAATCGACCATAAAACATCGTACTTTTAACAATTTCTAGGTTCACTATTGGATGCATAGGGGTGACAAATGGACTATAAAGCTTGTGTATTGTAATGTTCAGGTTTTTAGTATGTGATCATCTATAGTACATTGTAAAACCTTAAAGGTTCACAATCTTGGTTTGCGACCTTAAAGGTTCCTGATCTTGGTTCATGAGCATATAAAAGTACAAATGTTCATGTACATTTAAAACTTAAACAGTTCACAATCTTGGTTTGTGATCATATAAAGTACATGTAAAACCTTAAAGGTTCCTGATCTTGGTTTATGATGATTTATTATGTCACCACCAAAAGTGGTGACATATTGTTATGGTCTCCGTTTTTTTATGTCACCACCAAAAGTGGTGACATATTGTTATGGTCTCCGTTTTTTTTTGCGACGGCGGTTGGCGTCCGGCGGTTGGCGTCCGGCGGTTGGCATCCGGCGGTTGGCGTCCGGCGTCCGGCGGTTGGCGTCCGGCGTCTGTAACAATTTCTTACAACTTCCTATAACTTAACAAATACTGTTTAGACTGACTTCAATTTTTTTCTAAATCATCTACATGTTCTCAGAGGTTCAAATCTGACTTAAGATTTGACATTTGACCTTCAATGACCTTCTCAAGGTCAAAAAGGTCTTTTTTCAACTTGCTTCACATTGACTAAATTTTTTTTCAAAATCATCTACATGTTCTCAGAAATTCAAATCTGACTTTAAATTTGACTTTAGATTTGACCTTCAAATCTGACTTTAGATTTGACATTTGACCTTCAATGACCTTCTCAAAAAGGTCTGTTTTCAACTTGCTTCGAATTGACTAAATTTTTTTTTCAAAATCATCTATGTGTTCTCAGAAATTCAAATCTGACTTAAGATTTCACTTAAGATTTGACATTTGACCTTCAATGACCTTCTCAAGGTCAAAAAAGGTCAAAAAGGTCTGTTTTCAACTTGCTTCAAATTGACTAAAAAATTTTTCAAAATCATCTACGTGTTCTCAGGAATTCAAATCTGACTTTAGATTTGACTTAAGATTTGACATTTGACCTTCAATGACCTTCTCAAAGTCAAAAAAGGTCAAAAAGGTCTTTTTTCAACTTGCTTCAAATTGACTAAATTTTTTTTTCAAAATCATCTACATGTTCTCAGATATTCAAATCTGACTTTAGATTTGACATTTGACCTTCAATGACCTTCTCAATGTCAAAAAAGGTCAAAATGGTATTTTTTCATCTTGCTTCAAATTGACTAATTTTTTTTTCAAAATCATCTACATGTTCTCAGAAATTCAAATATGACTTTAAATTTGACTTGAGATTTTACATTTGACCTTCAATGACCTTCTCAAGGTCAAAAAAGGTCAAAAAGGTCTTTTTTCAACTTGCTTCAAATTGACTAATTTTTTTTTTCAAAATCATCTACATGTTCTCAGAAATTCAAATCTGACTTTAGATTTGACCTTTAATGACCTTCTCAAGGTCAAAAAAGGTCAAAAAGGTCTGTTTTCAACTTGCTTCAAATTGACCAAATTTTTTTTTCAAAATCGTCTACATCTTTTCAGAAGTTCAAATTTGACTTTACAAGTTCTCAGAAGTTCAAATCTGACTTTAGATTTGACCTTCAATGACCTTCTCAAGGTCAAAAAGGTCTTTTTTCAACTTGCTTCAAATTGACTAATTTTTTTTCAAAATCATCTACATGTTCTCAGAAGTTCAAATCTGACTTTAGATTTGACATTTGACTTTCAATGACCTTTTCAAGGTCAAAAAGGTTTTTTTTTAACTTGCTTCAAATTTACTTAATTTTTTTTTCAAAATCATCTACATGTTCTCAGAAGTTCAAATCTGACTTTACATTTGACCTTCAATGACCTTCTCAATGTCAAAAAAAGTCAAAGAGGTTTTTTTTCAACTTGCTTCAAATTGACGAATTTATTTTTCAAAATCATCTACATGTTCTAAGAAGTTCAAATCAAACCTTCTTAAGGTCAAAAGGTATTTTCCAACTTGCTTTAAATTGACCAAATTGTTTTAGGTGGTGACATTTTGTCATGTTAATGCCTTGTATAGTACATGTAAAGTATAATATAAAGTACAAATAAACATGTAAAACCTAAATGGTTCACGATCTTGATTTGTGGTCATAGTACATATACCTTAGAGGTTCCTGATATTGATTTGTGATCGTATGAAGTACATTATAAGCCAGAGTGGTTGAAACTTTATATTGGGGCTGTAAAGGTTCTCAGTATGTGATCATAGGTAATCAAATAGTAACAGTTAAACCTCAAAGGTTTGTGTTCTTGGTATGTGATCATATACTGTAAAGTGTAAACGCCAACTAAATTGAACAATTCTGAAACTTGATAAATGTTAATATACACTTACATAATACTCTAATTCACTGTATATTTTGTTAATATATACATGCTTATAAGCATGTTTGTATTGTCATGCTCATGTAATGTGCAATATAAAAATATAATTAAAATAAATTATTAATATTCTTGTTATTGACTCTATATCAATGTGATTTTCATTAGGTATTATGAATCTTTTTTCCACACCTTGAAAACTAAACAATTCCAAATAACAAATTCATGTGAGGTACAACAGTTGTTTAGCATAGAGCTGTGAATGTATGAAAAATCGTATGATCCTCTCAAACATATACTGATAAAATCTCTAGTTTTCTTATCTCCCTCCAGTAGTTATAGGTTTCAGTTCCGATAGCTTCTAGTTTTGCTGAACTTTCACTTCACTTTTAAAAGAGTATGTACTAGCATCAGGGTATTTTATTCATGAAGAATCACAATTTCCTTTTTATTTGTTTTGAAAAACAAAATACTTCTGCAAAGTGGACCTGAAAACACTAACTGGAGTACTAGTAAACAACGAGCTGAACAAAAACATAAATTCCAAGATAAAGAAAGAACTAAAAACCTTCTTAATTAAAACCATGAGCTTTCAGCCCATGTTAAAACTAAGAGGTTCTAAAAGGCCTGTAAAGTCGACAATATAATTCATGTATATCAACTACAGCCCATGACTGTTCATAAAGCAACACAAGTGAAAAGGACTAGAGACTTTAAAAAGGCACAACAAGTGACTACATTAAAGCACCATAACATAGGATATAATAGTCTATAACCAACCAACCAACCAATCACTCCTTAGACATGAATCCCGTCTGATGCTCTATAAAGAAGGCTAGTATCTGGTGAATGAGTTTGGCAATCTGTGGCCAACATGGCATGGATGATGTACTGAAATTAGATAATGAGTAATTCTCTTGGAAGGGTGGATCCAAGGCCTTTGGGGGCTCGGGAATAAGAAGGAGTCTTCATAAGTATTCCAGCAGAAGAACGTTCGGTTTTTTCCTCGACTGCTAATTGATAAAAACGAACCGTTCATATTTTTATCGCAATGTAGGTCAGATAGCAAACTTAAACGGACAATCGAAATCAACAATTTCATGTTCTCTTACCTCTTTATTCAAGAATTATTGTCACATTCAGTTTATCTTTAAAACTTCGTTTAACCAATATTGTTATGATCACACGTTCAATAATAAGCAATTTCAATTAATCAGATTGTGATTTCTTAATTCATTAGAAATCTTTCTTATAGTTTGCCATTTAGACATAGCATAACAGTGAAGAATATTTCATTTCAGTTTCCTCGTATAAAAAGTGATTAAAAAGAAAGCACTGATGAATTAGATTACAGAAAAACATTTTTTATAAGATGTGAGTATATGTTTTTCATATATAGGCAGTAAGAAACCGGTCGATGCGCTATGAGTGGAGTTCAGGGGTTGTTCAAAACCACGAATATTTTTCTGAAAAAATTTCACAAACTTGCTCAAGACTCTCTTCCAAAAATTGCTCTCTTATTGAATTCTGGGTGCATTTATTTCGCTATTGTTAATTTAAAAAAAATGCATTTAGGCTATACTTTCAAGTAAAAATAGCAAGCTTGAAATGACCTTGACACAGGGATGGAATACATCTGTTGATTAGCAAAGCTAGAGTCCATTTCACTGCTTCTTTCGTCAGTAGAACGGCAAAAATAAGAAATTGGGAGACCATTGTGCAATAATAATGGAAAAGTATATTCATAATGTACATGAATGACATTTGTATCTTTCAGATTTTTTAGTTTTTTGTGCAATAAGCCTGTGCCGTCTTGTAATTTGAAGAATTTCAGCCATGTTAATCTTATTGAAAATAACATGGCAGAGAAACATCCAAATATAAGAGGCCACACACTTTATAAGCCAAACTAGAAGCGATCCAAGATATACAAATGTCATTCATGTACATTATGAATATACTTTTCCATATATTATTGCACAATGGTCTCCCAATTTCTTATTTTTGCCGTTCTACTGACGAAAGAAGCAGTGAAATGGACTCTAACTCTAATTGAAAGCCCATAGACTTCAAGATGTCCCTAGTCCTACTAGCATAAATGTTAAAATTATGTTAGTTGGAGACCTACCCTTTATTTGACCAGCCCACATGTTTCCTGTCTCATTTATACAGTTGAAATTGTAATTCTTGAGTTCTTAATTATCGTAAATCCTTGGTTCTATAAGTATAATGTCCAAGCAATTTCAACTTAGTTGAACAGGTTCCTCTGGTCGTTATGCAAATCTATATGAACACCAAGTAACGAAATTATTATAATAAGATTTTGCTAAAGTTACTAAACGTGTAACGAGATATCATATTCTTTCGTTTTAGATAAAACGTTTTTTAATAGAATGTTTTAAACTAATTGTCCGCTTATGTTATTAAACTCGTATTGAAATAATGATTTTGATTAGTTAAAAGTTTGACATGCGATACCACGCATGCGCATAAAGAGGATTTTAATTTTCAAAATTAGTTCCAAATTTTTGACACAAATCTCTTAATTACTCATGAAATACCAAATTACTTCACTAAAAACGTAGCAGAGTGATTTCATAGCATTCAAAGATAGGATAGGTGCATAGTTTATCGCATTTTGCTGCTGCGTCATTATAAATATAGGTATGTGTAATGGCCATGATATCATGGCCATTGGGAAAGGCTAAAAGCCCACGGATTGGTCAAGCATCATTGGTAAATTCCTGCATTCTCTGGTGACTTAGCCTACAAAGCTTGTATTGCAGGGCCGTACCAACAAGCCTTTCCAACAAGTATGCGAATCCCCCAAATTTTGAGTTAATTTTTTGCAGTATTTCAGATATTTATTGTTTTTTGATTATTAAAGATATTTGAGGTACATATATATGTAAAGATGGAAATATGTGAGATGTGTAACTTTCGCGTAAATCAAGATCAGGTGGCAAATTTTATGTTGGCTTTGTTGTATAGATGCCTGGGGGGATACTCTCATATATTGAGGATATGGGGACATGTTGTAATAGTGGGTCACTTTTTCACAAAAAAATCCCTAGATGTGGGTCCTATTTTGAAGAAAAAACCTAGATATGGGTCCCATTATGATGAAAAAATCCCTAGATGTGGGTAGATATCTTGAATCTCAGCGGTACACCCCTCGGTGTGGATGTTTCTTAAATAAATAAATAGAAAACAACATAATTGTGGGGATTTCAATAGAAGCACATGTCATCTGACACTTTCACAATCATAGTTTATTGATCATTGTGATGTAACAGGTATGACAGGTGCAACAGAGGGTACATTTGGGTCTTTTTGTTTCTTCGTTATGAAGGATTATTCTTGAAAAGTACATATTTTGATGGTCTGTGAAATTTTTTTAATATATTTTGTTTACACATAAAATTCAGAAATTAGAAGACAAATATTTGTTCAGATACAACAACACTTTCTATGCTACTTTGGATGTCTGAAATTATTGTCAGTGTCCGCAACGCAAATATTTCTTTTAAATGCTGGGCACAGGCAAGATATGGAACTACTATCAGCTCAAACGATAACGGTATTTAAATGGATCGATTCTCCACTCCCAAATACATACATTTACAAACTCTGACGCTCTTGCATTGAATTTCTGGTTCAGCCACAGCAACATGATATAAATGTGTTTTCTGTTCCGCAGTTGAGTACTACCGTAATTTTATTGGCTTACTCAACTGCCATACTTGGAGCATTAAAGAATGTGATTTATATAAGAAACAGTCTCATTTCTGTTAAACACTGATTCTATGGAATCCTAGTTTGGATTAAAATTGTCTTTTAACAATTGTGTTATTTCTTTGTGGGGCTATTCCAAATGTGGGTTACAGTTAAATCATTTGATTAAATCCTTGCAATATGGAGATTTGATTAATTTTTCTTTTTTGATGCCTATGTGTGAATAATGTAATAAACAAGATAGCCCCAGAAGGTCCTACTACTAGGTCTAGTCAGTCAAAACTTGCCTTTTGTGGACCTTCCAATTACAGGCATCACAATTTACATGTTAATTTAATTTGAAATTTAAATTATTTTGTCGCTGAATTCTTTCCATTATCATCTATATTGTAATTCTACCATATAATGTTGTTTATATTCCTATCATCTTATTTTCATTAATTACTAACACTGCAGCATTTTATTTCATATTACAGTATATATGTACAATAAAATCGTAATTATGGCATGTGGTGTTCTTCCAGGTCTGAGAGTGGAGGAGCGATTATACGGACAAGTGGACGTAAGTCAGTCCAGCCGTACGACCCTGAAGATGACACTGTTAAAGAAATCGATTGTACACGATACTGGAACACTATTGGAATATATGCTTTCCCAAATTGTCATAGAGTGTGGTTTGTGAAAGACATTTGTGGGCTGGTGTGCGTCTTCTTCACATGGCTTTTAGTGTTTTATGCAATATACGTAGTGATATTTGTGATGCTGATACCGTATCCATATCCAGTTTATAGTACCATAAATGGAATGATCTTTCTTTTTGGGTGTTTCCTGGCAATATCGTCACATGCGAGATGTATGCTCTCGGACCCTGTAAGTTTTTTCATTTTATTTTATTAAAGAAACTAACGCAATGCAGCTAGACCTAATGTAAGTAGAACAACCTTAGTTCTGCTAAAAAAAATTCCACTTGCAAAAGGTGTTCCACTTACAAAAAGGTTCCATGCGTTTTTTTACTGTATTTACATAATCATAGAATTTACATTGTGTTTTTTGACCCTGTAAATTACCTTCAATACTCTCTTATTGATGATCAATGCAAAATGAGAGTTATGAAATAAAGTTGTTCATCAGACTCAAGTCAATGGTTGTAAAAATAAACAAAGCAACATATATCATCTGATCTATTCCCCTTAGTTCCAGGAGTAGCCATGATTTGGGGTCACGATTTTTCACCAGTTTTTGCCAGTTTTTCATTTTTTGAGTTCTTTCCAAGTGATTTTGGTACAAAGTTGTCAAATTTGAACCCCCTGGAATTAGAAAAGTGAACCCCCTTTGCAATAGCTGATTACGGGCATGCATTCTATCACGAAGATCAGAAATTAAAGATAAGTGCTGTAACATAATCTACATTAGGTTATTTCTGGATCTGCTTTGTAAGTGGTCTAGCAGGATGTGATAATTACTGATAAGACAAGATAGCTTTTAAAGCAATTTTCTGTCATTAACATAACATTTATGATCCATTATCCATAGAGAAATTACAGGGTTGTAGCATTGAGTATTAGATTTATGAAGGTGAAAGTTAGTAACATTCAGTGGCCACATGGTTTAACATAACATTGCTTGTTCACTGAAGGCTCTTCAATGCAACATTTATATAATATAAAGTACATTGCTTGTTCATTGAAGGATCTTCAATGCAACATTTATATAATATAAAGTACATTGTAAATCTGAAAGGGGCTTAGTGAATAAAACTGATCCTAAAGTCCACCAAAATTATAAAAATCAAAATAATGCAAAACATGCACTATCAATGAGCTAATGGTGCAAATCTTATTTTGTGTAGATATAGTGTTTGAATCGGCCACCTTATTCACCTACCCAATGGTTTTACACATGAAGATATTGAATATGACAAGATTTTGAAACTACCTCCCTAACTAACCACTATAGTCTTACCCACTGAGAAATAAGAACACTGATTTGAATATACATGAACTATAGTATGTAATATTATATATATGAATCATGTTCTGTCTGTTTCAGGGAGCTGTACCACGTGGTAATGCAACAAAGGAAAACATTATGAAGCTTGGACTCCAGGAGGGCCAAGTGGTTTATAAATGCCCCAAGTGCATCAGTATAAAGCCAGAGAGGGCTCACCACTGTAGGTTAGTACATGGGGGTGAAATATCTGTGTTACATAGGGAAGTATTGAAATACTTCAACATTTTGTGAAAAAATCCCATCCCTGTTCAAGTTGCCTGAAAAAAGAAGTGTTCCAGGTTGGATGAACCCCTCCACCTTAATATTCTAAAAAATTGCCTCCAACTTATCGAAGTTGCTTTTTTTGTAGTGTAATTTTTGTTGCCAGAATTTAGCTTAGCTAGAACTATACAAAAGTAATACAAATTCACCCTATGCAGACAGAGACTGTTGGAAATATTGGGTGCGGCGCAAATGAGCGGAGGGTGCGGAGCTAACGGTCATTTTTGAATTTGAAATTGGGATATTTCTGAAACTAAGCCGTTTTGGGACTTCAAATATACCAAGATATGTGTATTTGACACCAAATATCAATAAAATTGTGAAAACAGTAGTGCAATTCATTTTATAGCGACGCATTATGCCTTAAACATTTCCCAGACCTATATATTTTGAGGCTATCCTTTTAATACTGCGTCCCCAGCATTCATAAAAAATGGTGTTCAAGATACACTACCCATGCAAATTATTTTTGCATCTTGAAAGCCAGGCAGTATCTGTGTGATTTTATAAAAATTTGGAAATGTTCTTCAGATATGAGCCCCCTCTAAATATTGGGTGCGGAGGTACGTTTATGGAGCTCCTCCGCACCCAATATTTAGAGGGGGCTCATATCTGAAAAACATTTCCGAATTTTTATAAAATCACACAGATACTGCCTGGCTTCCAAGATGCAAAAATAATTTGTATAGATAGTGTACCTTGAACACCATTTTTTATGAATGCTGGGGACTCAGTATTAAAAGGATAATTTCAAAATATATAGATCTGGGAAAGGTTTAAGGCACACTGCGTCGCTATAGAATGAATTGCGCTACTATTTTAACAATTGTATTTATATTTTGTGTCAAATACACATATCTTGATATATTTGAAGTCCCAAAACGGCTTAGTTTCAGAAATATCCCAAATTTAAATTCAAAAATGACCGTTAGCTCCGCACCCTCCGCTCATTTGCTCCGCACCCAATATTTCCCACAGGCTCTGTCTGCATAGGGTGAAATTCTATTTGCTGAGAAATTATGTTGGCCCAAGAAAATGACAAGTTAATTTGGAACATTTATTAGCCTTGAAAGCTGTATTACTCTAGAGATATATCAATATGCATATAGATCATGTTTCATACAATATCAGTATCACAATATGCTTTCCATATCTACTTCTTTTAATATTTTATTCCATGTTATAATGGATTTACAGTTCCACAATTTTTCAATCTTTTTTCAGTGTGTGTAGAAGGTGTATAAGAAAAATGGACCACCACTGTCCTTGGGTTAATAATTGTGTGGGAGAAAACAACCAAAAATACTTCGTTCTTTTTACTGTAAGTATAATTTTAAAATATTGAAAATCATCCTCCGATCACAGGGCTTCAAAATCCCGAATGTATTCTTTCTTTTTACCCCCTGCGATAAGCAGTTAGCATTTCCCCGATTAAGAACTCGCAATCTGATTGGCTGCCGCAACACTGCAACAGAAATCATGTATAAGTCATTGCGCATAATCAGACGCGTGATTCAGTTTAATCGGGCGCTTCCAAATTGGTTATAGCAGGGGGAAGAAGGAGGTACGGAGTCTGGATACCTGCTTAGGAGGATGATTGAAAATAAGCCTGAAATAGAAAAAATGCCAGCTTATTTAAAAAATGTTAGATACCTGGTTTTAATTTAATTCTTTGTCACTTTTGTAGAACTCTTGTGAAAACTTTTATAAAATGCCAATATTATCTAATAACAATATAGAATATAGCCAGACAGTGTTTGTTGTATCAAAATCAGATTTAAAGTATAAATTTAAGGATCACTCTGTGAAAACTCTTAAAGGGTTGGATGTGATTAATCATATATCTGTGTTTATTTTTCTTATTTTAAAGTTCAAATATTTCAAGTCGTATTAATTAAAAGGATTAAATGGTGGAAGTATGCAATTAGTAGCATATTCAGTAAGTGGTTTTGCTTAACAAAATAAAATCCAGATCTAACAATTGTAAACATATTTTTGTTTTGCAGCTGTATACAACATAAAGTATATATTTTCTTGTTGATTTTCAGCTGTATATATTTATAATATCAGTGCACGCTATGGCGATATCAGTTCAATATTTCATCACCTGTGTGGGCAGTGATTGGTCAGGTAAGACATCTCTCTTAAGGTAGTTCTGCATAATGATATATTAAAATGACCTTAATGGAGTCACATGCTCATTTTCAGGTAATCATAACACATTGTTCACATGAGTTTTCAAAGAGTTTTTAGTTTTCAAAGAGTGGATTACAAAGAGAAGGTCACTGAATTTTCTGCAGTTTTTATACATTTCATGTAATGATTCACCCTATTCTTATAATCTTTGTACAAATATGCACTCTTTGTGTGAAATTAAAGGATTGTAAACCCATTGGAAATGAATTGTGACTCTTTGCCAATAGACATCGGACTCCATTGAGGAAGCCGTTTTAATTGTTCACCATAGTAAACCTTTGCTAACAATATCATATTTTGTATTATATACTCATTTCTGTTTATTGTGTTCATATTATATTATTTTGTGATCATGTACAAATATTGCGATTTTGTTTACCATATTCACTCTATAATTTGAGATAGCCCTACTATTACTATTATGCTTATCATAACATTTTGATCATCATGTTCTAGTGATCTCCATATTATGCTTCAGCCATTTTTTATGACTGGTGGTCAGTATTTGGTAGTCAGCATGTATAACAAATTGTTACAATCTAACCATATCATGACACATTATTACCTTGTGTTTACAATATGTATCATTGTGTTTACCATATTAATCATTGTGTTTACCATATTAATCATTGTGTTTACCATATAAATCATTGTGTTTACCACACATTGCATTCACCCTTTGCATTTTTATTTTCCAGGGTGTAGCAACTATTCCCCAGCAGCTACTACGGTGTTCATCATATTCCTGGTGTTTGAGGGTCTACTGTTTGGAATATTCACAGCAATCATGTGTGGCACACAGCTAAGTGCAATATGCACAGATGAAACTGTAAGTTATCTCACTTTACTAGCAAAGTGTTCATCATATTCCTGGTGTTTGAGGGTCTATTGTTCGGCATATTCACAGCAATCATGTGTGGCACACAGCTAAGTGCAATATGCACAGATGAAACTGTAAGTTATCTCACTTTACTAGCAAAGTGTTCATCATATTTTTGGTGTTTGAGGGTCTATTGTTTGGCATATCCACAGCAATCATGTGTGGCACACAGCTAAGTGCAATATGCACAGATGAAACTGTAAGTTATCTCACTTAAATAGCTAAGCGTTCATCATATTCTTGGTGTTTGAGGGTCTATTGTTTGGCATATTCACATTGATTTCATCCAAAAAATGTTTCTACATTTTGCACTTTATTGCTTGGTTACATGGGTAATATCCCACAAACCAAGCAACAATGTGTAAAATTACTTACTCTCTAAAGGCATTTTGGAATTTCGGATTATTATGGCAGAAACTTTAGTCGCTGATTAACCTGCTAATAAAGACACATATTTGTCTCAAAGTCCTCACTGTGACCTGGAGAGAGCTGTTTTCAGAAAAAATGTTAATGTGTTATATTTGAGATTAGTTGTTAAATAATACAAGGGTTCATTTTAAGCATAATACTGACTTTGTTTTTGCTATAAAATATGTCATGATTTTGTTTGAAGAATCCATATATAATGTTTGAGTATAGACTTTTTAAGTCAGTAATTTAATGAGTATTACATTTAAAAGATGTCTCTCTTCATGGCTGTATCAAATGCTGCTTTCCTGATTGCTTGACATTTATATTATTAACAAACCACAGTTTTTCTATGAATCCATCTTATACTGAAACTATTATTATCCTACTGAGAAAATTTTGTTACTGAGAAAATTTTGTAGGGGTACAGAGAAGCCATCCGTCCATTTGTTTGTTTGGGCGATATCTCAAATACAGGTTGACAGATTTGGTTCAAATTTTATAGGCTTATGCCCTATTGACGTACAACTTCTACTTAAGGAGGAGGTTTTTAAAATGACCAACATTTTATAAAAATGTCACCTTTCATAACTCAAATACCTGTTGATGGATTTTGTTCAGATTTTATTTGCTGATGCTTAGGGAGATAGGAGCTTTGCTCAAGGTCAAGAAGGAATGCTGAATTCAAAATGGCTGGCATTTATGATTTAAAGCATCTTGGTCATTCAAATTCCTTATCTAAAGTTCCTGCATAAATTCACTTTTGCTTTTAAGAATAAATCAGGTTTCCAAGCAGAATTTAGTTTTGCATCAAACATTATAATCTAAATAGTTGCCTTTTTGACGAAAATGCTGAAAGTAGGTTGATTGCCTGATTGTTGAGACAATGGAATGATTTAAACTATTCACCTGTATTCTTGGTCAGAAAATACTCTCAATCCAAGACATCACTTTCTGAAATTGTACACTTTATCCTATGGGGCTCTTTATTCATGCATTGTTATTACATGGTTACATTATTCGTAGTACTAATTACTCAGCATTAACTATAAACTTACGAAACTAACTACTAACTACATGTAAGCTATATACTAGGTATTTTATCTCACTGTCAAGTCACTCATTCTGCGATTGGTTAAACACAGGTCACAGTGACAAAAAATGTGATCTCATATTTCCTTGAAATTCAGAAGACTTTAGTTAAATCATATACTATAACATGTCAACATAGCTTCAAAAGATTTCAAAAATATTCAAAACCCCAGAAACAATAATGAAGAGAAAGACACTATATTTACAAGCAATATTTACACAACACCATCGGGACACGTGTGAAGAATGACACACTACAGTGCTCACCATAAATAAATGACACCTGGATTTTCTGAAGTGAGGATTTCCCATGTTAAAAAGAAGAGAATTTTCAAGAGGCTATACACCAGTGAATGAGAGTATACAAAATGTAAAATATACAAAACTTAAAGGATGTGTATCTAGACATTATTGGAAAGTATGAACTCTCAAATCATCAAGGTGTGGAAATGGTGATTAAAAAATAAAGGTGTTATTTATTTATGGTGAGCACTTCATAGGAAATTAATGAACTGCAATCTATTTGAGTCCTGGGTCACATAAATGTCATAACAGTACACTTCATTTCACAGTAAGAAATATATCCCATTTTCTCTGTGTCTATACACTGAATTATCAGCTAAATGTTTGAGATGAGCTGGCTGAACTCCTAGATTTCTCATCAGATTGCATTGTAGACAGCATATAGTAAGTTGTCATCACATCAGTCCTCTGCAGCATTGAATAGATGGGCTACAATATAAAATATTCATATGTTATGATATGAGGATTAATCATAGAGTCTTCATAATATCTCTGATATACATGTATTTTATTTTTAAATATACGAGACCTTTAGGGTCACCCTTCATATAAAATACGCCCTCATAACAGTAAGTTATGAGCGCTACTCTGTAGTGAGTTATATTTGATCACTTTGTATTGTTAGTATACTGCTAGTATAGCACATAGCATACACATTGTCAACACACCACTTGTGTTCATAGTGAAAGATAAACACTTCTACTTGAAAGTATAAAGTGCAGAGAAGAGTTTGTAGTTGATAACTCAAAATGAGGTTTTACAATGGTAAAAGATAATCATGCATTGTATGTATACAAACTTGTGTTTTAAACTACATGCTATTTTGGTGTCATCAAAGCTCTATTTTACCTTATTCCCTGTACTTGATGCTGAATAGTTTTCCCCTGTCTTCCCCTACAAGAAGTTTTCCATCATGGCTGACTGCAACTGCTTGTGGATACGTAACTCCATCTGCCTTTGTGAGTACGTTTCTAAGGAATTTACCTTCAGGTGTTAGGAGAACAACCCTTTTATTGCAGAAGTCTGCAACAAATATGTAATCTTCTTTGTCTGTGCAGACACCAAAGGGATGCATGAGTTGTCCATCAATAGAGCCCCGGGTTCCATATGTGAAGACTTCTTTGCCATTCCTTGCTATTCCCTTAATACAGTGTCCTAAATGGTCACTTATTATGTTGACTTGTTTACTGTTACTTGTGATATAATGTGGATATTCAAATTTGCCATGTTGACTAGTGATATCCCCAGTGGTTATATCAACATGGCACACCTGTTTACTCCCTGTATCAATCACCATTAGTTCACCTGCTGTGTTCATGGTGATGCCTTCCAGTTGTTTTAATCTTGTACATACCACATCGCGTTTGTGACTACCATCTTCATCATATATGCTGATTCTGTTGGATTCGCCATCAGTGAATGCTAGATCACCATCATTCATTTGTGTTACATAAGTGAATCTCTTTTTCAAATCCTTCTTTTTTAGCTTGTGGCTGCTATCATATATACGTGTAGTACTAGAGATGTACCCTGTTGCTACATAATCACCTGCTGATGTGATAGCAAGATCATGTATGCTATTTCGATGCAGCTTCGTGCTAGTAACAGTAGGATCACATAATGGTGTGAGGATGTTACTCTCTGCATTTGGCTTTTTCTTTACCTCAAGTGTTCCAAACTTAACTTCCCCATCATCATATTTCCCTTCAGTGAATCTTATTTCAATCTTATCATTGAAGGTTGTATTTGGTTTCTTGGACCATTCCTCAGACTTCTTATTTACTTGCTCCTCAAGCCCAGCTATTTCTACGGGGTGGCCATGCTCTACCAGGGTGCAGAATTTGCTCACTTGACTCTCAATGATTGCGTTTTGTAGCTCTAGGTGGCCCAGGTGGGACATGACTTGCTTCACATTGGATTCCTTTTCCTTCGTCACATTCTCTGTGAGGGACTTGTATTTCTTGCGAACAGTTTGGATCATAGTGTTCATATCATTGATTATTTCAGCTTTGATGTTTTCAGCTCTTAGCTCCAGCTCATTTTTATAGGCTTGTGTATCTTGAATGGCTTGTTTATAAATTTGCATGAGTTCATTGCCTTGAGTTATAACTGCACCAATGGGTTTCAAGTTTTTAGGAGCCATATCTTTAATGTCCTCACAAGCATGACCAGCGTGGCTAATGGGATAGCATAACTGACAAATCACTGCCTTATCAACCTTACAGTACAGTTCTATAGGTTTGGTGGGATGTTTCTGGCAGTAGACAGTGCGTTCTTTAATAGACTTGACCGCTGTTTGCAAATTTTGTGCACCATCTCCCGTTATTTCAAGCAGTTTGTGATCTTTCAACAATGTGTCATGAATCTTGCAGCACGTGGTACAGAACTTCTTATTGCAGTCTAAGCAACGAATTCTAGCTGGGGTATGATTTTCAAGTGATTCACTACATGGATCACATTCTGGCGCTTTGGTCTGCTGGCTGTCCCTGAAGGCATCGACCAAAAATTTAATTGTAGGGCTCACCTTGAACTCCCCCACCCCTTCTTGTGGCACAGTGCATACCTGTCGGCATTCTGGGCAATTGAATATACCTTCTTGAAGTTTGCTTTTATCCATTAGACTTTCTAAACAATTGAGGCAATATACGTGCATACATGGTAATGTCCTTGGGTCTGTCAGAATGTCCTTGCATATTCCACATGTAAGAGCTGCTTTATTTTGGTCATCTATAAAGGTCGCCATCTCTCGACTTGTGACACAAAACTGGTTGTAATAATACTGTCTTAATACTCCTCTGTTCTGGAGTGTATTATACACAGATATATGGTATAAACAAATATTGTCTACTGTTAGTGTCTTTAAAAGTGAACAAAAAACAAATTCTGCTGCATCAGTTGTTAGAATAGTCTTGTTTCTTTTTAAAACTTATCTTGAATGTTACTCCTTCCCTTGTAGCTATGAATCAATAATGTGCACTTTATGTTAAACAGTTCTCAGAACTCGCTTAAATATTAAACACACAGTTATCAGAAGCCACTTGAATAACTGAATATTGACTCACTGTGTTAAAGGACATCATGACCTTGAATGAAAGAACAGAATAATTATATCTTTTAGTATTTCAACAACACTTCCTGGTTACTTAAAAAATTAGAAGTTCATTTTTTTGTTTACTGTAATTTGTTATATGAATTATATTACACAGTTATGTACACATTTCCATAAGAAATATATTCTTTAAGAATTTACTTACAAGTTCATGCAAAAATATGAAGGAGTAAAGGGATATTGGTGGTCTTAGAAATATCATTGATATTTATATATTTTTGATTAAACACAGCAAAGAGCAAATATATCACATCGAATGAAGTTCATAGGGATATAGAGAAGCTATCTGTCTGTCAATTCATTAATTTGTCCAACTGTTTGATTGTGTGTCAGGGCGATAACTCAAATACCAGTCGATAGATTTGATTTAAATTTTATAGGCTTATACTTTATGGGTGTAGGACCTTTGTCCTTTGCTTAAGAAGGCATTTTCAATATGGCTGCTCAATTCAGAAAGTAATGTTCAATAATTCTAATATGGTGAATTTGATTAAAATTTTATATGCTGATGCTTTAGGGACATAGGAATCTGCTCAAGAAGTAATTTTAAAATTGCTGCTCAATTTAAAATGGCTGCCATTTTTCATGAAAAACTGTAATTTTTAATTTTAAATACCAGTTGTAGGATTTGTTTTTATTAATTTAAACATATCGAAAGTCTCCTCTACACTATATTAACAATTTCTGAAAAGGGGATGGGTATTGAAATGAGGTAAAGTTAAAAACCACAAATGCCATTTTATTTTCCCATAGGGAAAACTCGTGCTATCCATTGTTTTCAGCATAATTTTGAAGTTACTGTTTTCAAATTCTATTTGCAATTTAAATCTGTTGATGTAGATATAACTTAACATTATTTTCATTCTTATGATGTAGTTGGTATGAAGAAACCATGCAGTTATATATTATACTGCTGTTATGTCTTTACCATATGTCATCTGACTACTTTTCAGGGAATAGAACAACTTAAAAAAGAACAAGCAACATGGGAACGCAAGTCAAAGTGGTTGAGCATCAAAGCTGTGTTTGGACACCCATTTTCAATTACCTGGTTTTCTCCATTTTCTACACCAAAACTTGGGCGTTCTGAGCGGACATTCTTTGCAGTTTAAACATGTGCAGTTGTGTGGAAAGTGGAATAACATCATAGTGGAAATTATGAACCATATGCTCCAGTGACAATGGAGGTCATTCCTGGGTTTAGAAACTCAGAAGGAGGATGGGGAGGGTATACCACAGTAACAGGGTGTGGATATTTCATATTACAAAGCTCTTATGTACATAAACCATATTCTCATCAGTAGACTTGTTCATATTTCATACATAGACATTGTTCCTGTTGCACAATCTAATTACTGTATAAGTGGTTATTTTGCCTAATCATTTAATTTGCCTCTTGCCTAATTTTTGCAAGTTTGGAAAATTAAATGTCGGAAATATTATACGAAAATTGAAAATTAGAAAAATGATAAAATTTGACCATTCGAAAAATTAACCACTCGAATGAATTACCACTTACAGTATGCTACAAAATGGAAGTTGCTTAGAACATGATACACTCTGGATCCATGGAAATATACTCTTGAATTTGTATCCTATCATTTGACCCACATGGACTGGACATTACTTCTATTGGATTCATTCATTCTGTGAATAGTCATCCTACAAAGACCTCTTAAATAAATGAAAATTACAGGCAAAATTAATGGAAATCATAAAGTTAACAGTTGAACAGTCCTTAAAAACAACAGGCGATCTTGTGAAAACAACTGGTGAAAATCGCCTGTTGCCTGCTGCTAATGAAACCCCTGACATTACTAATAAAGAATTCATATCATCTGACATTACTAATATACAGGGTGTTTCAAATGTATAAACCCCCATAAACTGGTACATGTATTATTTCCACCCTGTTATATTATATGTCATTTTGTTCCTCATGGAACGTTAAATTAGATTGTAAAGTTTCAGAATCCAGTGGTATCCGTAAAAAGATGAAACATATCAAAGTATGTCTGGAAAAGTCATCATGGGATTTCAATAGAAATGAATTGAATGCCCATGGAGTCATTTAGAGGGGAATTTCTGGTGTGAGTTTATGGGAGGGGGGGGGATGCATATGTATGAAACACCCTGTAGGATTCATTCATTGAGTGGAGTCTATGGAGGACAATGGTATGATACCTCATTAAATAGCAAACAAACATAAGGGTGATGTTCTCAGAGGTTTTAAATATAAGGACTTTTGTTTCAATGATACCAAGAACAAAGATGATGTTCAATATATCAGTCAAAGCATATTTGAATTTTAGCTTTGAAACTGATTGATTGTTATCAGGATTTCAATTGTAAAAATGATGTAGAATCCAGCCTATGGTTTAACTAAACCTGATTAAAAATACAGATTCCTGCTATACACAAGTGCCATCTATCTTTGTATGTGTATGTTTTTTTATACAGTACTGTATTTGTTTAGAACATCAAAGTCTTAAATGTTTATTTATCATAATTTCTCGCAATATTTAATTTTTATAATGTTACTTTTGTCACTCTTTTGTTACTTTGTCTTTTCCTGATTAAGTTTATGAATTTCTATTAGTTTTCAATTCAGTTGATTTACCTTTTTTATTTTCTGAATCCACATTGTACATAAGTAATCTATTTTGGAGTTGTTTTTTTCCTTGACAAAAGCTGGCTATGGGCCTCTACTATGACATCATGTAAAATATTGAACTTGTAATAAGTTTTGTACTCCAGGATTGTGAAGTTTTATGTGATTGTTAATATGCACTTGTACTTATTGTACATCTGCAATATAATCAAAAATTATGTTTAAGTGAAAGAGGTCACGTCTGATCACTTCTTCTATGTACATGTATATATCATAATACATCTGCAATATAGGTAGTCAGAAATGATGTTTAGAGAAAGAGCTTGTGTCATATCGTTTTTTCTATGTACATGTAAATACTGTATATCTCGTTAACACAGAAGTTAATGGACCAAGAGCGCTTATGAGAGGATATGGCATTCACTTGAATCAGAAAGTGATTTACAAAGAGTTCTTATTGAATTGCACATAACCCCTGCACAATATATCTACGAGGCATAATTTCATTTCAGTGCTGAGTAAAGTGAATTATCCATAAATAAAAAGACAAATCTGTATTAAGCTTGGCTGGAATGACATTTGAACACAATAGTGATTTATGTTTTGCAATAATGAATACATATGTTGATTATGTATACTCTATTAGTATGGTTTATACGACATGTACATTACATGCAGTGTAGTGTTGATACTAAAGCTAGTACTAAGCTTGTATTCGCAAATGCAACTTTCGGCTGTCAGCTACCGGATTAACCTACTATTTTATGGGCAACTCATTTAAATATGAATAGTACCTGCCACTATTTCATTCATATCATATAGATGGTGATAAAATAGTAGGTTTAATACGGTAGCTGACAGCTGAATGTTGCATTCGTGAATACAAGCTAAGTCTAGTTTGTCAAGTGATGTAAATTATCTTCATAATGACATTACATTTTTGAAAGCTCCGAGCTTGTGTCAATGTCATTGATTTTTATCATTTCATGTGATGCAACTAGATTTACTGTAAAACATGTGAAATTTATGAATGCATTTGTTAAGAACCTGAATATGTTTTTGTATTGTGTGTCCTGGTCGATTCTCTATTCATGAATTTTACTTTGATAATGAGGCAAACGAATGTATATACGTACATTATCAACAGAAATGCTTTTGATGAACTTGGTCAAGACAAATAGCTATAGCTTGTACCATTCATCTTGTGCGAGAACCCAACCTCTATGAAAAATTTTTGTTCTGTATTTTGACGGAAATGCTTCATGTAGCTGGGAGAAGACAGAAAACGTACATTTTCTGCTTTCAGTCAGAAAATATTTTTGTTAAGATGTTTCGAAAGGATAAAAGTGCTTGTGAGTGGTTGTGATGGTAATGACTGCCTTCAAGATGTACACCCCCAATCCGCAACATCATCTTGCGCTGTAAACACTACTGAACAGTGCAGTTCGAGTGCAGCGTAGGGCTATTTATTACGATTAACAGAGGAAATGTGTTGATCTCATTTCATATTGCCCATACCTTTTTTCAGAGAGTAAAAAAGTTTCATGATGCAACAACGATTTGGCAGCTACAAGATTGATTAATTGCACAATGAAATTTAACTAGCTTATGTTGAAAACATTTAATATGCATCTACTGTACATGTTTTTTTAATCAATTGGTTTATTTCATAAATACAAGTACAGTGAATATACAGTGTTGGGGAAATATGTCCTAGCTTCTACATGTATGGAGGGCCCAGTGAACTCCATGATTTCCCCAAATTGTATTTTAAATGGAGGGGGTTGTCTTGAGGAATATAACACATGTAGGTGGCAGACACTAAACGCTGAATACAAATCATTAAAGGAAAACTATACCCTAAAGAGAAACTATTTTGGTATATTACTCCTTTATTAACGGACACATCACTGCTTTTAAAGGATAATATGATACATGTTTGTATAAATTGTAAAAGTGTACATATCCATAAACATTGCGATGTAAATGATCTATACAGAACAGTGTGATTTTTTAATGCATCAAATCCATCATGTAAGCTGTTTGTACATTTTTAATTTTTATTTATCAGACACAAATTACAAATAAATATGTATTATATATGAAATATTCAATATATTGCATTGTCAGTTGTTACTAAAAATACTCTCGTAATATCATTCAAAATGAAGCGTTTGATACTCTCAAGTTCAGCGTAAATAGAGGTTATTTACTGGGAGGGATTCAATGAGTTTTATATACCCAATAAACCCACATTTAAATGTAAATGTAAATATACTTTTTATCCCATGATATTCATATCTCTTCATAAAACATTAGTTCAAAATCCATATCTGATTTTTGTATGAAACAAAACCAGACTATATGTTTAGTCTTGAAGTATAAAAAAATTATTGTAAACACATCAACATCGGAAGAATTAACAATCTGTACACATGTCCATCACAAGGTCACGTCGCAAAAAGGTCGCGCATGTGTGTTTTAGGGTGTCTCGTTAATGTTTATTTAATTCTCCGTTATATAAGAAAATATTCTAAAGTAATATATCATTTTAAAGCTACTTTTATGAAGTTTTAAATTAAGTACACTCTTTTCACAATTCTCAAGTCTTTCACAAGTCTTTTTAAAAAAAGAGAGTTATTTATCAAAAAATCTGGCAAATATCCGCCGTCGACACGTTGCATTTTGAATAATTTTTCATCTTTGAACGCTCATAACTCGAACAATATTTGACTATTATAAATTATTTTCGTCTTCGTTATTCACCGGGAAGTAGTAGTATCATGGGATAAATATTATTAAATGGTTCAATTATGAATGGGAAATCAATTCTTTGGATTATTAACCCTCTATTTTGATTCATACATGTTTCGATTAACAATGGGAATTAGAGTTACCTCAAGAATCTATTGATATGGAAAACTAATGGATTTGGTCCAAATTGTAGCTTCTTTGAATTTTCATATGATACGTACAGGGCATTTTATAATAAATGTCCTCCATCACTGGGGATCAACTTGAAACAAGAAGACAATTGAAGATGACAAACAAAATTTAGTAAGATTTTTTGTTTTCTTGACTTAATCGGTTTTATCCTTCAAATTTCAACTTATATGCGGGGGATCAGGGATGGGCCGGGTCTCAATTTTTTCGGGGCCCACCTTAGGTTGGAGTGACCCCTGCCTCTCCCCCCTCCCTTCATTTCCAGCACTAATATGAAGTTCACGATATTAGTCTTGTGATTATCCTTATATCGTGAACTGACTATAGGATGATCTGTTTGTCCTATACGGTGCGCTCTTTGTACATCAGTACCAGTTTTGTTGATTTGTTATGGCTACAAGTGAAAATGTTCGGATAATAATGTCCCAGTTTCTAAATTAAACATAGCTACATCAAAAAATGGTCTATAAATATCAAATGACAGGGAGATTATATCTTACCGCTCTGTCAGTACGTAAAGCTATGTTAGGCTCATGATCATTCCAATATCCTAAACCTTGTATAGGATAATCTCTATACTAGCTTTTGCGTTCAAGTTCAAGTATGGGATAAAATTGAATTCAAAATGGCCACCATTTATGATTAGTTTTTGATAATAAAAATACCAGTTACCAGATTTGGTTCAAATTTTAAGTGGAAATTGCTACTGTTTTCTATTTCTGTTGTCAATTGCACAAATATACTTAAATGTATCAATTTGTTCTTAAAGGAGAATTGAATTCAATAAAGATTAATATTTTTTTTTTTTTTTTTACTTTT